CGGTGCGGCGCGGGCTCGACCGGTGCGGCGCCGGGGCTCAGGCGGCGCCGCGGTCGGCCCCGCGGCCGTGAGGGGAGCAGCGGGCGGGGGCCTCGGCGGGGCGGGGGAGGTGGAGGCGGCGACCGGGCCGGGCGGGCCCATGTCGGCACCGGGCACAGGTACGGGGGGAGCCGCGGGCGAGGGGGGCGAGGGCAGGGCGGCCCCGCGGTGTGTGTGGGGAGCGTGGCCCTGGGGAGGCGTTGGGACGGCGCAGGGGCCTGGCGGGGCCGCGGGAAGGGGGGTCCCGGGGGTGCCCCGGGGCCGGGGCGGGGGGGTCGAGGCGGGGAGCGCTCGGGCGGCGGTGCCTGAGGGCGCGGGGAGAGGGCAGGGCGTGCTGCCGGTGCCAGCCGGGAAGGGCGGTGGGAGGGCTGGGAGCAGGCGTTGGGGTGTGCGGGAGCGAGCGGGGCCGTTCAGTGCCCCGTCTGTGGCCGCCGTTTGCCGGTGGAAGGCGCGTCCCCGCGGGTCTGACAGCGAAACTCTTGAGTCCCGAGACGTGTGGAAGTGAAAGTAAAAGCGCCCGGCTGTTCGCCAGGCCGGGCTGAGGATGGGTCAGTGCCGTGGAGTTGTGTCAGAGAGGATATCGGGAAAAGGTTGTTCGCCCAGAGGGTGGTTGGGCACTGGAACAGGCTCCCCAGGGAAGTGGTCACAGCACTAAGCCTGACAGAGCTCAAGAAGTGTTTGCACAATGCTCTCGGGCACATGGTGAGGTTCTTGGGGCTGTCCTGTGCAGAGCCAGGAGCTGAACTGATGATCCTTGTGGGTCCCTTCCAACTCGGGATATTCCGTGGTTCTGTGACCCTTCTCTACCAGAGCATGGGTTGCTCCTCTCTCTGCACTGTGGTTTCCTGCTCTGCTCCTTGTCTCGTCTTCCAAAACTTGTGGCTGAGTTTATTTTCTCCTCGTTGACCAGGGCATTTTTCTGGTGCATCTTCCTTGTTTTTCTAATGCACCTTCCCTTACTTTAAGAGAACCCTGGTTACATTTCATTCCTTGAAACTTTTAGCTTTCCAGTGGTGTGATAACCAGTGATGGAGGAGTTTGTTGCTCTGTCAGATTTTTCAGCTGGTCAGAAGTGGGGACATCTTGCCTCATATCCCCTCATTTCTTTCATAGGAGAATAGCTGCAAAAGGGACCGTTTGTGTGATCAGTTTTATTTCCAGTGGCAGTAAAAACAGAACGTGAAAAATCTCAATATGTTTAGTTTAATAGAGCTGTATTTCTTCCCCCCATATATATGTTTGCAAGGATTGAGATTCTGGATCATGTTAATGCAGACTGTGAGAACAGACTTTTTATTGACTCGAGAAGATTGATTTGAGGGCCACGGTGTTGGTGTTTATCCTTTATTCTGAATTGTGACTGGGTTAACGATGCTGAATACCTCATATGACTCTGGTTTCCTTGAGAGTAAGTACATAGATGCTTTTTCTTAAATGTTGCTTCTGTATCTCAGGACCTGTTTCTTAAGTTTCTGAGTCCAGTGCATCATGAACCCAGTCCCATTGCTTTTTCAAATTCCAAGAATGCTGTGAAGTTTAAAAAAAAAAGTAGAAATTTAGATACACTAAAAATGTCTTAACCACAAATGAGTTAAGGTGTGTCAAATATTGGAAAATTAATAGAAGTAGTTTTCTCTGAAAAAATAGTGTCTATGGGCACTGAAACTAAGGAATGTCAAAGCATGTGAGTGTCACTACAGAAACGGGCTGCCAAAGGCATGTGGATGTTTGTCTTGTCTCTTTTTTTTCCTCTGTCCTTCCTAATTTTCAGCTGTGAGTGCTGGTTTGTCTGTTGGCTCATGGAGTTCCTGTCATTATTGTGCCTTCTCATCAGTACATCCCTATAAACACGAGGTATTGAATGGAAGTTCTCTTAATGTTTCTGTACCTGAATTTGAACCAAACTGTATCTTCAGCCTAATTCCCTCTGGAAATGAGACCCAGGCGAGGCTGCTGCCTGTCTTGTTTCCACTTGTCCCTGCTTCCCACATCTTTTGAGCCTTTCAGCCAGTTTCAGTCCAACGAGGCAGAAGTTCTGAAGGTCTGAACGTTCCCCAGATCTTGTGATAACTGGCAGCTGAGGGAAAGTAGTGAGGTCTGGCTCACCATTCCTGCCCAGGGAGGGGTGATGGACGTGCTCCCGGGGCAGTTCTGGGGCAGTTCTGCGCCGTCTGTCAGAGGAGGCTCCACGCTGGATCAGCCCGTGGGTCAGGGCTCAGTGTGTGTGTGGCTCGGAGGCAGCGGCCGCTCCGCCTCCTCCTGCCCGCGGGGGTTGGTGTAGGCACAAAGGAGCTGGCAGAGCCATCGGAAAGGTTCGGGAGATAAGGAGCTGTACACGTAGCAGGCAGTGAGAGGAGTATTGGAACACACCTGTTCTGGGATACAGGACAGGAATCTGCTGTAAACAAGATTTTTTGGTCACCAGTGTTCATGGGAAAAAAGTGGATAATACTGCCCTGTGGTTGAAATCATAATGTGCCTGATTATGCCCCATCCCTTTACTTTTTATCCCATCTTCTCTGTTTTGCTTTTATACAAGCGAACGTCCCATACATCTCTAAAGGAGAACTCTGAGTTCCTAACTTTAATAAGAGCTTGAGACCATAATGATTTTGATGGTGACTCTGTTGTTCAAAGTTACACATGTAGGTGGATATTTTGTTCTGTGGTGGGTTTTTTGGGGTTTTTTGTTTGTTTTTTCCCAAATTGTAATTGAATTACCCTACTGGCAATAGGTGGGGGGGAAAAGATAAAAGCTGGAGGAGTACTGGAATTCTGACGTACTTTTCCAGCATTTCTTTAATCATAAACAATCTTTTTCTCAAAATGTTTTTCTTTTAAACTTAGCTCCCAATTTAGTAGCTTTCAGAATCTAATGCTTTCTCTTTTTAAAATGAATGTGTTACTCTATTGTTTTTTTTCATTTAATTGGAGAGACTCATGCATTGTTCTGTCTCACCTACTAGTGAGATATTACGTTGATGTTTAAATGCTGAAAGCTTTCCTTGCAAACCCCTTTTGTTGAAAATGGTGGGAGGGATAATTTAGCTGTCTCAAAATGATGGAAATTCCAATGTGGATTTATAGTGAGAAAAAATTCAGATAGTTATTGTTGATTTTAAAACAGGATGTGTAGAAGATTTTCATCTCCCAGGTGGAGCTGTGAGGAACAGGTCCCACTTGCCTGGCCTGCAGAAATAGAAAAATTAGTTCAGACTTTAATACAAAGAGGTTTAGGGGGCTGTTTAGTTGTTTGGGTTTTGTTGACCCCTTCTCTCTCAGGTTAAGTACTGATTTCACAATAACACTGTTTTAAGACGATGTAGTTCAGTGTTTTTGAAATCCAAGTAGTTCTGAGATCTTGAGATGTGAAATCTTTTAGTTGTAGGACATGTGTTAGGGAGCCAAATTTGCTGGTGCTCGTTTAAGCAATGCTGATTTGATTTCCATAAATCACTGTCAGAGACATTTCTTCTTTGGTGCTGTTGCCAATTGCTGTCAAACAGGCGAAGTCCTGAATAGGTTCCCAGTTGGTAAGTTGTCACTGCCCATATCTGAATACACTGTGAACTTTTGCAAACATTTTTTTGTTTAGAAGACCTGGACAAGCACCTTAAATATTGTAACACAGAGTTCCATATGGGTGGGATAGTCAGTATGTGAATCTGTCATCTTATTGTCTGGGAGGTGGGGGAGGAAATGTGAAATACTTACTTAGAAACAGAGATTTTCTTTAGTGTGGTGTCTTACTTATAAATATATTTCACAATAGTTAAAAATAATACTAGAAGCACCCTGCATTAGATTGGCATGCAAGTGTCTCATCATCCACTCTGAGTAGATGCAGGAAATCTGTGAATTTAGCACGTTTTCATCATCCAGCCAGAGTTAAATGTCAGAAAGGCAAAAGTAGGGGTGTCAGCTGGGAATCAAACTGGTGTTACTGCTAAAAGCAGTGATGGTTCTTCAGAAGGGATCACGTGCAGTGGTGTCCCATCAGTCCCACCCATATATGCATTTAACATGAAGAGTGTGAACATGTGAAAACTCTTTTTTGTTTTAAGAGATCAACGTAGCATGAAGTAGATAAAGCTTAGGTGGTTCTGATTTTCTCTTGTGGTCCTGTTTGGCCCATCTGATCCTGCCATGAGTCAGCAGAATGCCCTTCATTAGGGACAGCTGCATCTGTAGTACCAGGAGTTACCCATCAGGGTGAAGAAGGTGAGTCTTCCCCCTCTATTTGGTACTTACAAAACCACATCTGGACACCATATCCAGGTCTGGATTCTCTGTTCCCAAGGAAGGCACTGACATACTGGAGTGCCACCAAGAACATCAGGAGGCTGGAGGACATGATAGGTTAAGAGAAACAGAGGGAACTCGAGGATTTCTTGATCTGTGTGAATAAAAGGGGAAATCTTATTGTCTTAAAACAGTCTAACAGCAGAAGATAGAGAAGATGGAGCTGGCTTCTTCTCAAAGCTGCACTGGGATAGGATGAGAAGAGGCAGAATCAGGACAAGGCATAGCAAATTCCAGGGAAAGCTTTTTCACAGTGTGGTTATTCAGGTGCTGACAGAGGGGCCCAGAAGGGACCCTTGCATCTCTGTCAATGGAGATACTAAAACCTTAGGTAGCCAATTCCTTGATCTGATTGGACTTGCCTGGAGAAGAGGGATGAAGGCTGAACTAGGTGCCCTCCACAGTTTCCTTCTGATCAAAATGATTCTGGGATTTTTACCCTTTGGTGTTCAGTATATGTTACCTCTTGTATCTTCAGCCAAGTGAAACCAAAGCTTAGAGGGCTGGAAACCCCGAAGAGGCTAAAGCTCCTACAAAATGTTGGTTGAGTAGAAGGAGAGAGGAACTTGAATAACTCTTGATAATTGCAGCCTTTCTGATATTATTTCCATTTGTTCTGCTGACAGGGAGGTTTGTGTGTCTAGCATAGTCAGCACAGCTCACTCTGCAGCTGCTACTTGTGCAGCTTGAGTGTTGGAAAAGAGTCCTGGAGATGGCTGAGGAAATCTTGGGAAGGGTGAGGAAAGAAGGAAGCAAGTGGATGCCTTTCCAGTGCCAGGCATTGGAGCAGGTTGGCTGGAGGGGTTGTGCAGTTTCCTTCCTTGGCAGTTTTCAAGGCTGGAGCTCAAAGCAGTCCTGCTTTGAGCAGGAGGTTCAGCTACTTGAGGTCCCATCAAACCTGCATTATCCTAGGATCCTAAGCAGTGGAAGGGGGAGTATTCTTACGAGATGTGTAGAAGGGTCAGTGAGGTGCAGGTGCATGCTGATGAATCAAATACTTAATTATTTTTAAGTTGGGGATACTTTGCTTTCATCAGTTGTGTTGGTTTTGTAGTTTTTTTTCAGATGGGCTTCAGTATGTATTCCAAGATCTTGTATTTCTTGGGTTGTAGAAACTTGAGGTGCTTTTACTGTATGCTGAAGACAGCTTTGCAGTACAACACTCTTACAAACTGGTTAGCTTTTACCTCTTAGGTTCATTCTGTAGTTCAAGAAAACTTAAACCTTTATTCTGATGAGTCAGGCATTTGTGAGTTAATTGAATATGGGTAGGCTGTGAAAAATGACTAAAATATCAACAGCAATTTAAAAGTCCTTTTCCTGTGATTCTGCAGGTTTGCCTGGGTAACACGATGCCAGCTGAGCGCAAAAAGCCACCAAATATGGAAGAAAAGGAATCTCAGCTAAATAATAAAGAATTTAGTGAAAGGAGACCAGTGAGCACCAGGGATAAGCCAAAAGAAGATGTCAAGGTTGGCATGAAGAGAGAGACTTTAAAGGTTCCTGAAGATAAAAAGAAGAAAATGGAAGAGGATAAAAGAAAGAAGGAAGACAAGGAGCGGAAGAAAAAAGAAGAGGATAAAGTAAAGGCAGAAGAGGAACAAAAGAAGAAAGAGGAAGAAGAAAAAAAGAAACTTGAAGAAGAGGAGAAAAAGAAACAAGAGGAGGAAGAGAAGAAGAAACAAGAAGAAGCAGCTGCTCAACTAAAGTAAGTGGTCTTATAATGGTTTAATTGTGCCAAATGCTGTAGTTCTGCTACCAGGATTGTGGGCAGAGTTATAAAAGATGAACTGTTTGAGTTACTTTTAAGTTGCCTGTAGTGTTTTAAGTTTTATGTGGCTGGCTGAGTATGCTTTATGACTTCTACATAATTTTGAGTTTTCACTTGTAACCTCTGTTATTTTAGTCTCTAATATGGAGCTTTGTTAGTGTTCTGCATGTGCTGACCATGTAATGCACAGTTATGCTTGAACAAATGCCATGGTTTAACCCCAGTTGGCAACTCAGCCCCACACAGCCCCTCACTCCCATCAGCAGGATGGAGAAGGGCATCAGAAGAGTAAAAATAAGAAAACTTGTGGGCTGACATAAAGACAGTTCAATAGATAAAGGAAAAGCTGTGTGCTCAAGCAAAGCAAAACAGGGAGTTCATTCCCCACTTCCCCTGGGCAGGCAGGTGTTCAGCCATCCCCAGGACAGCAGGGCTCCATCAAATGTCACAGTGACTTGGGAAGACAAGCTCCATCACTCTGAACATCCCTCCCCCTCCTTCTTCCCCAGATTTATATGTGGAGTTGTATGGTCTGGGATGTATCCCTTGGGTCAGTTGGGCTCATCTGTCCCAGCTGTGTCCCCTCCCTACTCCTTGCACACCCCCAGCCTCCTCGCTGGTGGGGTGGGGTGAGGAAAAGGCCTTGACTGTGTGTAAGCCCTGCCCAGCAGTAATGAAAACATCCCTGTGTTATCCACACTGATTCCAGCACAAATCCAAACCAGCCCATCAGGCCACTGGGAAGAAAATTAATTCTGTCCCAGCCCAAACCAGCACAATACAGAGGCAGTTTCTTTTAAGATGGAGAGCTGTTAGCACCATAAATTTTGGAATACGTACTACAACAGGTCTGCAGACCATAACAGGAGCAAATCTGCTCTGAGGAGTGACTGTCATTTCTTTCAATCAAACACAGACAACTGATACCTGGATGGCAAACTCAGAATGTAACCTGGCAGTTTAATATGTGATATTACCAAGAGAGTGTTTTTTAATATGTTATCCAAGGGTACTGCTGTGTTAAAATGGCATCATTAGACTAATAAAGCTCAGATTCTGGATATTCTTATGTCTGTTAAATGTCACTTTTAAGAGTGAGGCAATGTGATAGCCAAATTCTAGCTGGGACAGATATATTTCACCTATTTAAAATTTTCTGTGTAATTTCAGTAGTCTGGGAATAAAAGATTTCCCTGAACTGTGTAATACAGTGACATGTTGAAAGGCTGTTGTGTTCTTTTGTAAGAACTCCATCTCCAGTTGGAGTAAATGGAGTTCTGTGTTTATATTTTTGAAGTCTGTTTGGATTAATATGTTCTGCCTAGAAGTACTTAAAAATTTATTTTTTTTTTTGCAACAAATAGTATTTGCCTTTTGCATTACAAAAATTAAACAGAATCTATAAAGCAGATGCTTCAGCTGTCTAGGATTAACTTGGTAAATATTTAAGAAGAGAGTATTAAAGGGAAATTTTTAGAACTGCTGAAGGGTTTCCAGCTATGACCTTTTTCCCTTTGAACTGATAACCTGCAAGCAACAAACTACTTTGTCCTGTAACAAAAATGACTAACTGTTATGTCTCTTAGGGAAAAAGAGGAAGCACATCAGCTCCATCAGGAGGCTTGGGAGCGCCACCAGGCAAGGAAAGAGCTCCGCAGCAAGAACCAGAACGCCCCGGACAACCGTCCCGAGGAGAACTTCTTCAGCAGGCTGGACTCCAGCCTGAAGAAGAACACAGCTTTTGTTAAGAAGCTAAAAACCATCACAGAGCAACAAAGGGACTCCTTGTCCCATGACTTTAATAGCCTGAATTTAAGCAAATACATTGCAGAAGCAGTGGCTTCTATTGTGGAGGCCAAGCTGAAAATCTCGGATGTGAACTGCGCCGTGCACTTGTGCTCCCTCTTCCACCAGCGATACGCTGATTTTGCTCCTTCCTTACTTCAGGCTTGGAAAAAACATTTTGAGGCGAGGAAAGAAGAGAAGACTCCCAACATCACCAAGTTAAGAACTGACCTGCGTTTCATTGCAGAATTGACAATAGTTGGGATTTTCACTGACAAGGAAGGTCTGTCTCTAATCTATGAGCAGCTTAAAAACATTATTAATGCCGACCGGGAATCCCACACCCACGTGTCTGTGGTTATCAGCTTCTGCCGGCACTGTGGAGATGACATTGCTGGTTTGGTACCCAGGAAAGTAAAAACTGTGGCAGAGAAGTTTAACTTGAGCTTTCCTCCTAGTGAGATAATTAGCCCAGAGAAACAACAGCCCTTCCAGAATTTGTTGAAGGAGTACTTTACGTCTTTGACCAAACACCTGAAAAGGGACCACAGGGAGCTACAAAATATTGAAAGACAAAACAGGTGACACTTGAATGTTGTTTTTTATTTATGAATTAAAAAATAGCTCATTTATGAAATGCCTAGATTTGTTGCAGTATTTATAAACAAAGTATGTTGCAGTCAATGTGTAGAAGATAAGTGTGCTCTGCGTTGTATCTAAAAAACTAAATTTGATCTGAATACTTAAAAAGCAAAGACTAAACAGACTCTTCAAATATCTTCAAAGAAAAGGCAGGTTGACCTTTAGCTTTAATTCTCTTTATTTCCTTATCAGTGTGAGAGCAATGCTGCTTTCCCAGCTGGTACTGTCCTTTTCCAGTTGGCACAATCTGATTTTTCCCTTTCCACCCACATGTATCTAATGGAGCATATGCCACAATGGCTTGGCTTGTTTACTTTTTTAGTGTACCAACATGGAGGACAAATTAGTTTACATTAACAAGGTATCCATTACACTTCAAGGTGAGCAAATTATGTAGGATTATATTAAAATAGAGGGTATAGACAATTTGATTCAAATCCTCTTAGATATCTGTGTATAATACTAATATTGCAGGGTATGATTATACACACCTTTGGGATCTGAATAATGTTTTTCTACAATGTTCACATTGTTTAATAATTGTTTTCTTTAAGGCATCCTGAGTTCTCACTATTGGAGCCAGCCTAAACTCAGCTGCTGGTCTTAAAACAGAGTCATTCTTAAATCCTTTTGGAAGCACAGAAATGAACATGTTACTGGGTGTAGACACAGGTTTCAGCTAAAAGGCTGGACATCAGTCCAGAGTTGTATGTGTGGCTGGAATACATCAAAATTTCGTGTTCCCCAACCAAGGATCAGTTGTGCCTGATGGATTTTGTGCTGCAGTCCTGTCTGGTCTCAGTCAAACAGGTGTTGGATTTCACAGGAGTATAAACTGACTTTTGAGGGACTGTTGTTTCTACAAGTACCTTATTAGTTTAAAGTGAGTTATCAACTTAGTTGGTTTTTTTTTTAAGGTAATGAATATGAACCTTTATCCTTTCAATTGTAATTGGTTCTGGGTGGCATTTCAATGAGTGGGTTTTGTACAGCCTGCATGATAGGAAATAAAGGGAAAAAAGTTTCCAAGAGGTATAAAGTATGTTAAGAAACCAAGAAGAAGAAGGATTGTGAGTGATCTGAGAGAGGGAAATATACTTTAATATTTACTTGTACAACTGGATAAAAGAGACTGGATAGAGCCCTGAGCAGCCTGGTCTGATCTCATCACTGAGCCTGCTTTGAGAAGATCAGACAAGGGACCTCTTTATGCTCCTCCTCATCTGAATTATCCCTGGGGACATGGGTGCAAAGCTTTGTTTTGGGGAAGGAATGTGAAGAACTATCATTTATCACTGGATTAAGAGAACTCTGTTATTTATCCCTCTGAACTTTAAGGTGTTTATTTTAACTTCTTAGTAAAAGTTCTGTTAAAGAAACAAGCCATCAAAAAATTTTCCTACCAAATTTTATTCACTGACAGCATGTCAGTAAAAGAGATTCTTGGCTTTTGCACACTATGGAAATGCAAGTGAGGGAAGGACAGAAATTTGCCTAGTAAGAAGTCTGTGAATACTTCCTAAGCTGTGGATTTTGGGAGAGTGATTGTGCAGTTGGTTGGTTGCTTGCTTTTGTATTTTTTTTCTGTGGATAGGTGTGGGGTTTTTGGGATATTTTTGTTTGATTGTTGGATTTATTTATTTTTTTTAACAACTAATAATCCTATTGGATAACACAGTTCTCCATGTAATAAAAATCTGGTCCATTTTGCTGATAGCAGCAGGTTTTATTCATACTTTTGTTCCAGAATCAATGAAGTGAACAGGGAGTGAACTGTTCCCTCTTGTGTCATATGTTTAGTTTATGACATTTTGTCAGGTAAATAACTCATAATTTTTTCTGTGTCAGGAGAGTGACTGTGAAATAACTCAACCTGTGCAGATTGGTTGAGTTAATTGAAAATTAATATCCTAAATTAACAGTGCATTAGTCCTGTGTTATCTGCAAATCATTTAGGTAAAATTAAAGCATTATTATATACAGGGGTTTCTGGATAATTGGATGATTAGGAAAACTACCTCGTGTTATGCTCTGACAGTAGAACCTGGTGGTCTTTTGGTTACACAGCTGAGCACAGCTAAACTTGTCAGGCTGTGTCATTGGAAGGAAACAGCTTCATTTCCAAATTCTGGAGAGAGTTTTCAAAAATGAGTTAGATGTGGAAGAAACTTCTTTGGTCTAAATTAAGGATGTTTTTAAGCTGTGCTGAACTTGCCTTGTGGTGCTGTGAAGAGACATGAAGTAAGACAAGTGCTGTGTGCTGTGCTTTTAATTGTATTCAGAACAGAATTGTGCTTTTTAAAGTTTGCTTCGTGTGCTAGAGCTTCCTTGAATTTGTTAACACTTGTCTTCTGGGAACTGAAAATGAGAACTGAAACTCTTGTACTGTTGTTACAGCACTTTGCTTTTTTGCTTTTTTTTTTTTTAATAATAGCACAGAGCTTCAGTGCTCGTGTTTGTAAGGCTGCTGGTGTATTTTAAACTTAAAATATGTACATAATGGACAGCTGTCTCCATGGAAAAGCTGTGAGTTGGCACTTAACGTGTTTCCCGAATCCAAACTGAACTACTGCACTTCAGAAATTGTCAGTGGTTATTTAATTTGTTAATTTTTCTTGCTCTACTTTGCAGGAGCAGGTAATACATTTTTATATCGGTGTCAGAGGGACATGAAGTAGAACTTTAGCCAGCATTGCTGCTTCTTGCCCTCTGGCCAGACACCTGTGTCCAGTTTGGGCTCTGAGCAGGTCTAAGGGATTTTGTTGCTCGCCCTGTGAGTGTGTTGTGTACAGAGATGACTTTTGTTTTACAATTAAGCTGCAAATGGAAAAAAGCCAAGACTGATATCCCTCAACTTATGTTGCTTAAACTATTTTAGAATTTTTATGCCACAAAATATTTATCTTTTGGCAGGACTGTGACTGTAATACCTATTGCTTGATAAGAGCCTAATGGTAATGGGATCATGCAAATGATGATGCAATGACACAACCTGCTTCAGGAATTGTGGCATTTGCACCTTTTTTCAGACTTCTGATGCTTTCATGTCAGGGCAGGGGGCCTTGTCAGTGGTTCCAGCTGGTTAGTCCAGTGTTGTTAACATTGTTCAAGCTACTGTAAAACAAATTGGAATCAGCTTCCCTTTGGAAGTCCATGTTTGATCTGAGCCCATTTGGATCTTGGCTGTAGTTGGCCCCAAACAGCTCATCTGGCCCAAAGTGTTCCTTGCTGGTAGAGAACTGACTGTGCCTGGTCCTTGTGAGAACTGCTCCTGCAGAGGGGATGAATGGATCATTCCAGATGGGAAAAGGCACTCCTCAGGAGCCAGAGTTCTGGATAAACTAGAACAGTGCTCATGAGCAACCAGCTTATTCTGAGTTAACCCAAAATCAAGGATGACAGGATCAGACTTTTGTGGCAAGCTTTGGACTAGCAGAGATCAGTATATTTGGTTAAATTACTGAATGTTCTTGGTGTTTTTGGTCAAAATATCAAGATGGTCTTAATTGTAGTTTGGTAAGAAAATAGAGTTTTACTGTTCTGCCTGTTCTCCTGAAACTGCTTTTTGGTGCACTTGTGAGCAGTGACTGTTCCTTCAAAAGCAAGCTGCTTTTGACAACAGATCTCAGTTTTCAAAATGAAAATTAAAACATGTATGAATAGTTTCATAAAAGAAAACAAAGAGCAACTGTGAAAAAAAAAGGAATGGAACTGCTCTTAGTTTGGACCAATAGTCTTGAAATAACTTGGTTTGTTGGAAACTCAATGGGCTGCTTTTAACATGCAATTTTTTTTGAGCCTGCTGGTGGTAAAAGCCCATGTAATCATTTAAGCAATGTGGAAATGGATTGTTGCAGGTGCAAAGCAGTTTTTATCCAACTTTCATGTAAGTTGAATGTTCTAATTTAATACATAGTGCAGGACTGTCACAGCATAATCATGGCAAACAGTAAGTTGGCCTTTTCTGTTTGGCCCTTGCAGGTTCTGGGCTGTACCATCCTCAGTGGGATTGAAGTTGGAAATTCAGCGTGGTTCGGAAAAATAACAGCATTGCTCAAATTTTTGCAATTGCAGTCTAAACTGGAATTCTCACAGTTCCCTTGACCCCAGAGCAGGTTAACTTTGCTCAGAGCAATTCACAGTGGTTCAAATACACTCTAAGGAAAAAGGTTGTCTTACTGTAACTTTGATTTTTGTAGGCGCATCCTCCACTCCAAGGGGGAGCTGAGTGAGGATCGACACAAGCAATATGAGGAATTTGCAATGTCATATCAGAAGCTGTTGGCAAATTCTCAGTCTCTGGCTGATCTTCTGGATGAAAACATGCCTGACCTTCCCCAGGAGAAACCAACACCCGAGGGTAAACCAGGTTCTAAAGAAGTAAACAGAAGCTGGGCTGGGCTTGGGTGTGGTGGGGAAACCAAGCAAACCTTCTCACTGATGGGTTGTTTCTGCTGGTTTTGTTTCATTTGGGCTTTCCCCATGAAGGATATCCGTGAATGAATAATACTTCATTTTTTAATTCAAGTGATTAAGCCTAACATGAAACCATAACTATTATATATGCTGTGTGTGGTTATGGTAACTTAAGTAATATCTCTTTAGATTTGTTTCAGGTAAAACAGTAATAAATGGAAAATGAAAAATGTTTTTAACCTGGTCCTTTCCATTTAATATCATGCAGTTTTTAATATTTAAAAACTGTTAGAGTTTTAAAAGCTGATATTGTTCAAAAATAGGCCTGAAGTCTATTTTGGGCCATGATGTTATGAGCAGGAACATATTGTTAAGCCAGATAAGTGATAGGTGTGGCTGTCTGACCTCCTGAGCACCAGTGCAGCTTTTAGCTGACACTGCTGTTCAGTGCCTTTAAAATTTGAGATTGAGATGTTGAAATCCTGAGTGTATCTTCTGCCTCAAGTGATCTTGAGCTTAAAAAAGCTGTGTTCCTTGAATGCCTTTCAATTTAAAATGACTCCTTTAAAACTTCATTCTTAAAATTCAGTGGGGTGCAGTTCTTCATACTCAAAGTGATTACTTTTATTGCTAATGACATTAAGTCTGTTATAACTTTCCTTTCTAATACCACATAATGTGCTGCTTGATTTTACTTGATTTGACTTTCACTCTGATGCCATCTCCATTTTCAATCAAAATCCAATTTACTATTTTAAGATAACGTCGTGATATATCTGATATTAAGATGGAATTGTTAAAAACAGGTTAAAGTATACAATGCAATATTTAGGTGAAAACAGTGGTAGTAGTAAACAGATTAACATTTCTATGTGTATTTTTTTTATCTTTAAGGAACCTTCCTGTAGAAGATCATAAATCTGTGTAAATAATTTTCTAATGGTTTCACTGTTTTTGCAGAACATGGGCCTGGTATTGATATTTTCACACCAGGAAAGCCTGGAGAATATGACCTGGAGGGGGGTATCTGGGAAGATGAAGATGCCAGAAACTTCTATGAGAATCTCATTGACTTGAAGGCTTTTGTGCCAGCAATTTTGTTCAAAGATAATGAAAAATATTCCCAGAACAAGGATTCCAGCAAAGATGAATCAAGAGGTAGGGTGCTTAGATGAGTATTTATTTGAACATATCTTGCCCAACAGCTGTACAAATTTGATGGAAGTAATGAGGCTCTGATGGAATATTTTGTGGTGATCAGGACAGTTCACTGGTTTGGATCAATTTTAGGGAATAAACTTTGTGGAATAGGGATTAGATCTGGGCATGGTATTTAAGGAAGAAAAAAAGTAAATGCATTTTAATATGGATATAATTTTAAATTTAAAATAATTGGAGATAAACCAGTGTGTGTAAACACTGACTTTTCTGCAAGAAGCATGAGACTTTTCCTTCTCTGAAAGACATTAGTGTTTATTTTTCCCACTGTTATTTTTTTTTTAGTAAACTGTTAATGGGAGCTGACTTTGTTGGTATAAAATTGCAGTAGATTAGTAGGCCTGGGTGGTTCTTCTGACTCAACCCTCTGTTCACAGCCAGGCATTGGCCTTAGTTATCTTTAGTTATAATGGGATAAAAATCACTGGCTCAAAGTAGAACAGAAGGTGTGTGTTTGGATAGTTCTGAAATTTTCTTAAGAGAATCTTCCCCAGGGAGGCTGGAGTCTCTATCTTAAGATATTTTTCAAAACAACTGGAAAAATACCTGAGAAATCTGATGTGAATAGTGTTCATCTACTTTGAGCAGAAGGTTGAACTGGAGACCTCACTAAAGTCCACTCCAGACTAATTTTGTCTGTGTTCTAAACAGGTTGTTTGTTTTGTGAGTCTGTATTTCCAAATGATGTGTGCACTGCTTAGTTGTCACATTTTTCTTTGAAAAGTTTAAGTATTTTAATAAGGTTACTTGCCTTGATTTTTTTTTGTTTGTTTTATGGAGAATAATCTACAAATAAATGCTTGAAGGAGACTTGAAAGAATAGCAAAATACTCGAGGTGCTAATCTCTAGGAAAAATGTTCTATCTTCTATGTGTTGTGGTCAAAGAAAAATATTAGTTAGTCCTTTCTGAATCTTTATCTAGGGAGTTATAGATGGTTTTCAAGGAAAATATGGTGTTTCTTTGGCCTCCTGCATAGCACGTTATCTCTTCAACACCTTCCTCTGGTTCTGCTTTTTGCTTTCTTCTTCATCTGTCTAAAACACTTTCTGTTTACTTTGCTTCATCAGTTTTGTTACCAGGTCAGTTATGAAAAATATGCAGTGAAAACACGAAATTAGTATTTGTGTGTTTGAAACTGGCTCTTTTTGCATAATGTTGGTGACACTCATTTACTAAAGGATGCTGTTTTTCTGTCTGACCTCCCCAGTATGCAAGTTGGGGTTTTTTTGGCTTCACTTTCCATGAGATGGCCTGGCAATCCTTGACAGATCCAATGAGAGAAATGTTGGAGCTTTCAGGTGGATGGGTAAAGCTGTGTGAAGGATATCAAACCACTGAGACCTAAGAGATGAGACAATAGTCTCAAGAGATAGATATTCTTTGCCCATTTCTTTTTAACAAGATTAAGACACTAAAGAGGTTTAGGTTTATCAGCATCATTATTCTTGCATTCTTATCATGCCTGTGCATATTTAGCAGTATAATGTTTTTGCTTAACTTTTAAAACAGATTCAAAAGATGCCAAAGATAATAAAGAAGCACCTGGGAGTGAAGATCTGGAGTTGGAGCTGGAGAATCTGGATATTAATGATGATCCACTGGAGTTGGACTGTGGAGATGAGGCAGAAGATCTTACAAAGAAGCTTCTTGATGAGCAAGGTAAAAAAAGTCGGTTTTAAGGATTCTTTTTCTTCCTGATTTGTTGGTTTTTTTTCGAGCTTGATGGTTTTTACTTTTTGGATTTGTAGAGTGCATTCAGGAAGAATGATTGCTTTATTTATTTATTATTTATGAGACTTGGTAAATAGAAACTGCTAGGATTGTGGTCAAAAATGCTTTTGTAACAGGTCATTCAGATGAAAAGTATTATAAACAGATGTATGCAGTGAAAGGTACTGATTCCTTCATACAGCTTTTAAAAATAATCAAATGTAAAGGCAGTTGCCTGAGAAGTGACTACAGAGAGGTTTGTAGACTTCAGTGCATAAATGATTTTTCTCATCCAATGCTTAAGCTTCTAACAAAATATTTTATGGTTTTGACTTCTCTTGAAATCTAAGATTCAGCTCTGTCTTGTTAACTGATAAAGATTTTTCTTATGATGGTAGATGTTTACATAGTGGGATTTAAGAATTCTAACCTCTAATTACTTGCAAAGGGCTGCAAATGGACCCTCTGAAAATCTGGCTGTGGTAGTTTTACTGGGGGAAACAGCAGCACAATGTTTCTTAAGACTTTTTTCTTATGAATTACAGGTTTTCTTTTAGTAGTACTGAATAGGAAGAAAAGAAGAAAAATCATAGAGGAGCAAGTGAGGTGGTTTTTTTTGAGCCCAGTTTGTAAGGCACATCAGGTTTGCTGCTTTGGGTTGCCAAGGACCAGTGGAGATGATTTTCTTTCATTTCTGAAACAGGAAACTTGTCGTAAGTCTAAAATGTGGGGGAAAAAAAGAATCACATCTAGAGTCACTGGCTAGAGGTTCTGTGGCTTAAAACTGAAAATCCTACCTGATCTAGTGAATTTATAATTTAATCATCATAGAATGGTTTGGGTTGGAAAGGACCTTGGGGATCATCTAGTTCCAACCTCGTGCCATGGGCAGGGACACCTTCCACTACATCTGATCATCTTCCTCTGGACTCTCTCCAGCAGGTCCATGTTGTTCTTACATTGGGGGCTGGAAGCCTCCAGCATGTTGAACACACCACACAGCTTGGTGTCCTTGGCAAAATTCCATAGGGTGCAGTCAATCCCACTCTCCCAGAAAGAGTTAAACAGCACTGGTCCCAGTCCCAGCCCCTGAGGAATGCCAGTTGTCACTGGTTTCCATTTGGATGCTGTGAAAGAGCAGATATTTTAAAAATATCTAAAAATATTAAGAAATATTTTGTGGACTTGTGGGACTGGCTTCTGAACACGTTCCTCAGTGAGGCTTTGATTCAACAGGATGTTTAAGATGAGTTTGCAGAGAAGGGGGATCCAGCCAACAGTTTGCCCCCAGTGTTGGTTTGTACCATCTGACCATGAGGGGTCCTGCATGATCAAATTCCTTAAGGAAACTCACCCCTCAGAGGAGGAGCTGCCAGCATTGCAAAGGCACTTCTCTTACCTCCACTGTGTGGGTGATACTGTACAAAGGAGACTGAAGCTTTCAGGCAGAGTTTCTAGGAGAGAGCCCCCTGGAAGGTTCTAGTTCTGTAAAAATTAAGATGTTAACAGGAAGGTAGTCAGGGCTTTCTCAGAAAGTGTGTAGGGAGAACGGAGGGCAAGTAACTGTTGCCAAAGTTCTCCAACTGTTGTTTGGTACCAGATGTTGCAGGAAATGACTTCAGGAAGTCTTTATTGTCTTCTGGTGCTTTTTCGGTTCTGATGTATGAAAATTGCAGGGTTGCCTGCATTTCTGATTAAATGTAAAGATGTTTGAAAAGAAAAAATACTGCTTTGAATTTCTACGGTGATCATACTGCTTTATTTGTTTTTCACTCAGGTACACTGTTACAGATAGTCTAACCATAATTGTTTAACATTACTACTTGTAGTAAAGTTTTTAAAAGGGTTAATGCCATTTTAAAATGTGGTCATGATGAAAGACTGGAAAGCAAAAGGATCAGTGTGAAAAGCAAGAAATTAACTAATTTTTTACATGAAATGCGTACTGTGTTCTTTACTTTAGTGAAGGGAGCCCTGACCAGTTTAATTTCTTGTCAGTGTAAAGTTCTTAATTTTCTGTCTGAAGTCCCAGACTTGCTTCAGGTACTGCACAAGAGCCTTTCTACTTGGAAAGGATCCACATACTGTTATCAGAAGATAGAATGTGAGAATATCTGTAGTTCTGCAGTGGAGGAGAGGACAGTGAAAGAAGAGATATATTTGGGAAATTGTTGAAATTTAATATGATAGCAGGACCTCTGGAAAGATTGTCTGGAAAAGTGACTGAATTATCAGAGACTTTTTTTTTAATTTATTTCAAGGCCATTGAGCCAGTTTCAGTAGAATACTGAGGTGAGACAACTAATTACTGTAAGGGAAAAGGAAGGAGACAGGAAGGTAGAGCTATATATATTTAAATAGAAAAAGACATTAAACCAAGATTTACAAATTGCTGTGTTTGGGCTGTTGCATGTTAGTGAACTCTAAATATATGAGTGAGAGAGTCAGGGTTCCATTAAACGTGTAAAACTTCATGAACCTCTTTTGTCTGAGCATCTGGAACATCTTCCTTTTCTTCTTTTTACTCCTTCCTTAATGAACTCTTGTCTCTTGTTCTTCCAACTTGTAGTTCCTGTGCAAGAGGGGAGGAGATGTCTCTGCTTTGATCTCTAGCACCTTCAGCACTGGGTGGCTGGCAGAGCTGGCAGTGTTCCTTGGAGGAATTCATAGGGTTTCTCTACCTAAGCTCAGCCCCTGCCCCCAGCAGGTTCCAAAAACAGGAGAGAAAGTCCTACAAGTAGCAACTTTATCTCTTCCTTGCAATAACTTGAAAAAGGAACTTGAGTCTTGCAGGATAAGGGTTGTTTGTACTGTGTGGCTTGTAAATACAGAGTGACTTCACCAGGTGTTGGGTGTTTTGTAGTTTATTTGGGTGTGGTTTCCACCCCACCATATTCTCTATGAAGTCTGTCTTCATTTTCCTTTCAGATACCTCTGGGTATCCTTGTTACTGCTGAGCATCCCTGAACTGAAACAAACCCAAACTTTCTCAGGAAGCAATGTTCTTTTGTGTTACTTTGGCCAAGGAAACACTTTCCAAGCGTTGATGTTATAACTTGTTGTGTTATAGAGCAAATAAACTTTTTTCTAGGACTCAAAATATGGAAAATCTCTGAAGCATACCACAAATTTTGCAATTAGAAGGGAACTGTAGGGCAGTTGGTGTGGTGAGATCTTCATAGTTGATGTCAGAATTTTGTGTTCACCTTATATCTTATTTTTTTTGAATCTCTGGATGAAGATTTAGCAACTAACCATTACAAATGCACTGTGTTTGGGGAATATGATGGTAAATCCTTATATCTAGTTGCTTAAAGATGTCTGCTGCTTGTTTACTTATTCCTTTAGAACAAGAGGATGAGGAAGCCAGTACTGGATCTCATTTAAAACTGATAGTAGATGCTTTTCTTCAGCAGCTTCCAAATTGTGTCAACAGAGACCTCATAGACAAGGTACAGTCATAGTTTTAATTTTTTCCACTCTTAAAAGCCATAATGCTGGATCATATAGACCAGAAATAAAGATTTGAAGCTTTGGAATCTGTCAGCAACTGGATTAAATTTTAATCAGTCTGTATTCCTGTCCCTGGACATGTTTTCTAACTGTGTCAGTTCAATACAAAACTGAAGGTTTTATGGTTGTTTTTAAAACAGCTGCCTGTAGTAGGAATAGCTCTGTAAAAGCCACTTTTGAAAAGCATTTTCTACTGCTTTAAATAAAACCCACTCCATTAAAGGTGAAGTACTGCATTGACCTTTCTCTTTATAGGCAGCAATGGATTTTTGCATGAATATGAACACAAAAGCCAACAGAAGAAAACTTGTACGAGCACTTTTCATAGTTCCTAGACAAAGGTAAGAGCTGAAGCTGGATCCATCCATTCATTATTTAACTTATGTATGGATTTTTTAAAACCAATGTATATTCCAAGTTACATTTGCTTAGTCCACTTATGGAATGGCTTACCTTGGAGCACAAAAGGAATATTTAGGGTCAGTGATCAATGAATTCACCACAATATTTTGCCCAAAGTTAACATTTTTTCTTAGTTAATTTATTTTTTTTCTCTGGTACTTGGTGTTTATAACAGATCATTTCAACACTTTTAACCATGAAAACAACAGCAAAACCCACCTCCTACCAGAAAGGGAGGATATATTTCATTCAGGTCAAGTTGCACTTTTCAGTGTGGATAGTTAGAGCACAGTGTGCTTAAGGGAGGAGGATTTCTTGTGATATGTTAATTCTGATACAGCACATAGCCTTTATAACAGCCTTGTGTCTGCTGGAACAGCCAGTTCTAGGCCAGCCACTTTGAGCCTCATTTGTCCATGTACATCAGTCCAGGCAGAGTTTTTGCTGTTACTCCTTGTCTCTCCTTGTGTAAGTGGGTTTCCTGCACTTACAGGAAGAGCCTTTCTTCCAAAAATGGTTGGGAATAGTAAAAGAAACATTGAATTAATTGGAAGAATAATACATTTCTCTGTTCTCTGGTAAACTTGGGCCTTAAATAGGTGAAATAATGAGGAAGTCACTTTTCTTGCTCCACCTTGCCCCATTTCTCAGGATAAGTTGTTTGATGCTGCTTTTAGTTTGAAGTGTTTCATGATCATCTTGGAATTCCTATTAGAGTTCCCACTGCTTTGATTCCATTCCCTTTTAACACTGGGGGTGAAAACATATCTTCAGTGTGTTTTGTCTCAACGTGTGTAGCTTTGAATAAACAGACTTTGGTGTTTGGTTTTCCTTACAGTTAATCACTGCTTGCACTGTGCTTTCAACCTTAATTCGAGCCTATTTCTACATCCCATCTGTAATAAGCATCTGCTGTGCTAATAAATAACCCTTAGCTGTGTCAAACCAGTGGTTTGTTTGCTGACTGGAACCATTAACCTGACTCTACATTAAAATTCGTTTTTGCAGTTAGAAGTGCATGTAATCTTTCATTCTCTTCCGTATTCTTGCCCCTTTAAATTATGGGTTTGACACCTGAGTCTTTGGAGACTTTGACAGAGGCCTGATTGTACCTGAAATATGAATTACTGATAGAGGAGACAGGCAGTTAAGTATCTTCTGTATTAGGTGTAAAAAGGTGCTCTTCAGCCCAAATTTTAGTTGCAGAAGTAACATTTCTGTTTCTCAACCTGCTGGTATTCATGAAATACATCAAAACACAAGGTGAGAAGAACTTCTTTTTCACAGCCTAGAACATCTACAACAGTGTAAATCAGCAGGACCACTTAGACTTTTGTCTTCAGCTCTCCCATAATAGAGATTTTTCCACGTTTGCAAAATGGAAGCAGCTTGTTTGTGGTCTGTGAGCATAGTGTGATGTTTGTACCACAGCCCTGTATTTCTTCCTGAGGGTGTAGATTCTGGCTTACTCAAACTGATCGTTAACTGGTGGAACCTCTTTGAAAATCCATTATTTTCTTTGCATAAGTGTGCAGGTGATAATGACCTGGAGGAGCTTGTAGGCATTGTGCACAGCAAAAGGAGGTACTTTCAAACAGGGACAGCATAATGGCTTGTAAATTGAGCAGTGTGATTTCACAGGTGGCGTGAAAGCAGAAGTTAAATTCCCAATATATTGTACTATTCAAAAAGTGTCTGTGATCAGTCTGTGATGTGAACACAGTTAAGTTCCTAGAAACCTATTTAGTGTCTGCATTGCCACTGATTTGTTGTCTTCGCAGTGGTAGTTCCATTATCCTACAAATTTCTTTTAAAAATAATAATTTGAAAGGATTAACTTTTCTGTAGGAGCTCAGTAGACCCGAATAGATGGTGGGGTTGGCTCGAGGGGCTGCCACCTTCATGACAGTTTTGGTCTCTAATAGTTGGGAAATATTCACATTCCATGTACAATTCCTTTTTAGTACCTTTTCCTGCTGTCTGCTCTGAGACCTACTGGACTAGTGAATACTGGAGCTTCCAGCTGTAAGATCTGAAGTTCAGTTGTATGTATCTGCCTGCATTAGTGATCCAGTCTCTGGGCTCCTTAGCAGGAGAAGCAGGATGTTGACTGAGATGCTTGTTCTGAACCACAAGCAGTTGCAATGTAAATACCAGCAGCTGAACTGCCCACAGATGGAGAGGATTTGAAAGGGCCATCTATCCTAATATTTAAGTTACTGTACTACTCTAGTTGATAAAGGAGCAGCTCTGCTGTCTGTCTTGAAATCAACATTTATAATCCTTTTTGCTGTAGAAAACTCCCTGTATTCTGTAGCACACTGCTTGGAGGCTTTGTGTGCTGTGCATAACAGTGCTTGTGCTCTGGGTACCTCTTCACTGAGCCATGGGGGTATGTCTTGTCTTTCCATTATTGTTGTTCCATACTAGTTTTCACTAATTCCAGGTATTTCTACAATATCTCCCCAGGATACCGTGGGAGAAGAAAGCTTTATTATGGTTGTGTTTTTGAGGAGGGCTTTTTGTGAAAGGTTCAAAGGAACAGTGTCCTTGTAGGATGCAGATAAAGCAGTGTGTTTTCCAGAAGCATTTAGTTTCCAAGAGTATTAGATAATGCTGTCTAAGTCTGCCTGTTTTGTTGGTAGCCATAATGAGATATTTCAGTAACAGAATAAAATTCTGTTTCTTCCCTTGAGATCACTTTTGGGAAATGTGCAGACATGACACTTTTACCAAGAAAGGGTAGAAGTGGTTTTATGTTTGAGGAGCAATGCAGGCACTGTGAAATCAGTCATTATGTCGTGTTGCCAGGGAGCTTTCCTGCTCCCCCTAGGGCTGGATAGATTGGGACAAACCAGGATTCTTCAAGACAGAAAACTTAATTTAATAAAAAAGACCATTTCTTCCTCAACTCACTGTAGATCAGTGTTAAAATACACCATCTTTACCCTGCTCTCTTGAGTAGTGATGAATGGGTCACATTTACATTTTCAGCTGTGATTTGAACCTTCAACCCAACAGAACAGAAAGCCTTTGAAAAAGATTTTTCAATGCTAGCATCCAAGTGGCTTTCAGATTTGCACTGGAGGATTGATTTAAAATTAAATATTAGCCTTTTAATTCAGTCAGTGAATTTAATGCAGGCAGTGAGTTAACCCATACAGCTCACAGCCTTAGGGCTTTTATGTGTAATTCTTTGCTGTCTAACTGAATTATCTTCCTGTACAGGTACACATAATTATTTAGTTTTAGCTGCATGCTACAATTTTAATTTTTTTAACTTCAGAAAGAGAAGTTTGAAATCTCTTTTTAGGCCTTAAATTCTAAACTATTCTACACATATGCTAAGCAGTAAATAGAAGCTGTGCTGGCTTCTGATATTTTTTGCCTTTCCAATCTATGGTGATCTGGGAAAGTTACAAGTTTGCTGACCAAGAGATCAGTTGTTCCTGTGGAAATTTTTAGCATTCTTGTTGATTGTTCTGAATTCAGAAGTTAACTGCTTCTTAAGGATTAAGGATTAAATACTTCTGCACATTTTAACTCACAAGTTGTAAACCTCCTGTGCATCTCCCTTCTTACTGCTCTTCATTCTGAGAATTCTCAGTGGCAAGGTCCTTTGTGTCCAGTTGAACTCACCAGTGTCTCAGTGGCCTGTCCCACCTGAGGATAAAATTCAGGGAGTTCAGAGTTTATGCCAAGGCAGAGAAATAAAAAGCACTTCTCTGGTAGCATTCCCATTCCACAGCATCCTTCTCTTCACATGGAACAGTGTGGGTGGCACTTTGTACCTGTTCAGGCCCTGTGAATATACTGCTTTTGTCTGCATTATGATTATGCTGGTGAGGCAGGAGTTCTTACTCCAGTGTTTCGTTCTTTAAGCTCTGTCCAAAAATCCCAGAAATGAAGAAATGTACAAAACACCCCTTTATTCTTTCTGGGTATAAAATTTTGGATGCATCCATTTTAGAGAGATTGTTATTAGGACTTTAATTGAGAAAAGTTTTGGTGTAGGTTGTTTTTTGTTTGTTTTGTTTAAATAAAGTAATACTTGAAATTCTACAAAGAAGACAGGCTCTTAGATATTTCACTGGAGTGCACTTCATGTGATCCTGAGATCCAGAGCTGACTGGATTTCAGTCCAAGGTATGTGGTTAAAATGACAGTGGTCAGAAATAGTGGTTTTTTACCACGGTGATATATATTTGGGGTGCTTAACACAGACTTCAGAGACTAATTGACTCAACCCTGATGCCAGATCTTGCTTCGTAATGTACCAGAGCAGGAAGAGAAAGCAATACTGTGGTGGGGTTTTTTTTAGCTGATTTCTTCCTCTTTTCTCGAGAGGAAGAAACGTTTTTGGAGAAAACAAAGCACTGCAGGTACCAGTAGATGGTGCCACTGATACTGCGATGTCTCCACTGCTGAAAGCAAACTTTGGTCTCCTGTGAGGGGGAACTGATTCAATCCCTGATTGCCAATGTCAGAGTCATTGACCCAAGGCTTTACTTTATTATATTTCACCTATTTAGAAATGCCTGGTCTTACTGTGGTTCCCCATGAAGAGACCTTTTGTGTCCTGTGAGGGAATAACAACAATGTGCTCTAAGACTTTAATTTTCCCCTGGGTATGTTCAGTTTACAGAGATGAAATTATTGGCTCTCAGCAGGCAGGTACTGGTTCAGATCAGAACAAAACTTTCTGGTATTTATCTTAAAAAAGATGCCAAACAGAAATCCCCTCAGTTAGAATACACCCCCTCAGTTCAACCACAGTTTTAGCTTTTGTATCTGTGTGTGAAGTAATGAGACTTTCACTTCTTTCTGAGTTAATGACTAAATGCTTAATAGCATGTATGGTAGTAATTTGCTGTGGGTATTCAGCCTTGAACTAGCTTGAAAAATGTAAATACTGCTTCAGTTATTGATTAACAAAAGAGATAAAAACTGTTAAATAGGTAACTGAGGTACCTGCAATGTTTCACCAGGAGTTCCATGTGTTATCAGGGGGCTGCTCAGCTATGCCTCTTTCAGAGAGTATATTCTGATGCTTCTAATCCACAATTTAATACCTCACTATCTCCTTTTCTGTGACACAGAGTTAGAAAGGTGAAGGGAGGCAGTCATGGGTGCTTTGTTTTGGGGTTTTGGTCTTGATGCTTTTCCAATTTTACTTTGTGCCAGCACAAGTTCTGTGTATCAGCTGTGCTTTTGGATTTTTTTGTCAGCGTTTTTTTTCTTTTTCTTTTCCTTTCCTTAGCAGTAGGGAGAGCCTTAATCCTTCATAAAGTGTAAACTCAAGATCCATTTCTCCCTTACAGGCAATTTCTTACTTGAAGCATGAAAATCTAGGACGTTTCTCTCCACTGAAAAACTTAGGCTTCTTCTACAGTTCATCTGTTTACTGCATTAACTTAGCAAGCTGAAAATAAACCAAAACTACTTCCTTCAGCTTGTTAAATGATATTAGGAGGCCTCAGAGTGCAGTGGGTTTCTCTGCATGTAAAAGGGATGTGTGCACACAGCATAAATGGTTTATATAAATGTGCAAAGGAAATGGCTATGAAGGCATGTAATCAAGGAGGGAGAAAGGAAAGTGAGGGAAGTTCTATAGAAAACTTGGAAATATTACCATTTGTGGGAGTACTAGATGAAATTTTGGGTAAAGGGTGGCCACATCACATCTGCTGAGCTTTGTTTTGTGTTAATAACTACTACATTAATTTTGAAGTTTGCCACCCTAAAACTAAAGGTGTTCCTACTTTCCTGGTTATTTCTGCTGCTACAAAAAAACGTATTAAAACCTTCCAGTAACCAATGGAGTTCTCTGTAAGGATTTTTTTGTTTTGCCCATTGAGATGGGTCTGAATTTTGTTGGTGTCTGGTAATTTATTGAAGGTCAAATTCTGTAGCTGAGATGGTATTTGGCATTTTACCTTAGGGTGTAGCTTCCAGAGGAAATTAACTGTGAAGGATTCCAGCAGGACATGGTAGTTTACCTTCTTGTATTGTTTTTAAATTACACTGCAATCTGAAGTGAGCCCAAAAAACTGCATGTATGTAGTCCTGTCACTATATGCACATTCATTCTTTTCATAAGTAAAATGGTACCCATATTTGTAGACATAAATGCCTTGTTGTCTATAAATTAATTGTCTATTTAATCTTCTCCTTTCTTTGCAGGTTGGATTTGCTACCATTTTATGCAAGACTGGTTGCCACGTTGCATCCCTGTATGTCTGATGTAGCAGAGGATCTCTGTTCCATGCTGAAAGGGGATTTCAGATTCCATGTATGTTTTGGTGATTTAGCTTTTTGAATTCAGATTAACCAATCTGTTAAATCATCCTTGGGTGAAAAAAAATAACATTTGGTGTTGTAATAGAGTATTTAATTCAAATTATTTTTTACAATTTTCATCAGTCAAAATTTTCTGTTCCTCTTAATTGTATTTTTCAGTGTTGTTTCTCCTTTTTTTTGAGTTTTGTACTCAAACTGTTTATGGTGCACAGTGATGATTTCTTCACCACATTCTGAGTTTTATGGCACAAATTTCAATTTTTGTTTCTAACATTGACATTAAAATGTGTATATATTGCTCAAACTTACTTGAATCAACTGTCTGAAGTTAGATGTTCTCAGAAAAACCTCTTTCTGTTGGGGAAATACAATTTTGTATTTTGTGGATTATGTTTAGACATGGATACGTATTTGTACTTTGTTAGTAAAATTATGCTGGATGTCAGTAATTTAAAAGAAAAAAAAAAAGAAAAGTCTGCACATTATTAATCTGACTTGGAAAAACCATCAATGTTTAATATTTCCTTGAGGACTATACAAGTGACCCATGTCAAACACTACTGATTTCCCAAGCTGCTTAAGCATGTTCAGGTCAAAGTAATTTAGAAGAGCTGGGTATTTTTGAGGGCCTGAAATCAATTCTTTTCATTTTTTAGGTAAGAAAGAAGGACCAGATCAACATTGAAACAAAGAACAAAACTGTGAGGTTTATTGGTGAGCTTACCAAGTTTAAGATGTTCTCCAAAAATGATACCCTCCACTGTTTGAAGGTTGGTTTTGTGATACTCCTGTGCTCCTGCATATTCTGATGTGTCCCCCTCCTATTCCCCTTAATTTAGATATTGCTGATGTTTTCTGAATTTATTACATATGGTGTTTTAAACCCTGATGTCTGTTTTTACTTGTATGAGGAGACTTTTATGGCTGTTTATGGAAGTTAGAATGTTTTCATTTCTCTAATGGTAGGAATATATTAAAATAAATTTCCACCTTTGGACATTAACTGCTAACAGTGTTCTTTGTAGGTATGGCAGACATTGCTGCTTATTAATCTGCTATAACTTGCAAAACTTTCATTATGTTGATTTCAATTAATGTTTCTTTGCAGAAAAAAATGACAGTAAGGGGGAGGGATTGGAGGCAAAAAGCTTTTCAGTGATGCAGGGAGGGGCTTTTATGCCATTTTAGCAGGTGCTTTTATTTGTTGAGGAGCAAAACAAATTGAAAAGCATTGATCTCTAGGCACATCATCTCACTTTGCTCATAAACATGCAAACTTATCTTTGATGTCAAGTCCCAAATTAACAAAATGTTTTTTAAAAATGCAAGGTGTTTGAAGTCTCACAGCTTAAGATCACTTTCTGTGAATAGTTGCTCTTCAATCAAAGCTGAATTCTTAAGACATTGTAATCATCACAACTTAATGTTTTCTGCGGTTGAAAAAGATGTTTAACGAGCTGTGTTTTTATATCAATATATACCAGATGCTTCTGTCAGACTTCTCACATCACCATATTGAGATGGCATGTACCCTGCTGGAAACCTGTGGAAGATTCCTCTTTAGATCACCAGAGTCTCACTTAAGAACCAGTGTTCTTTTGGTAAGAGAAAACTTGTCATCTTATGGGGGAGGGTGTCAGGCACTGACTTAAAGCAATTACTCCTTTTTGAAAGTATCCTGGAGAACTCCAGTCGACCTATAAATCTGTTCATGGCTTGAAAGAAAATGTAAAAAAAAGAATTGAATTTCTGAAGCAAAAAGCTATTGCTTTTGAACTACAGATGATTCAGAGATAGGGCAAAACCAGAGGATGAGGCTGAAAATGTAGTAGCTGTATGTGAACATTCCTGAGATACAATTTGAGAGGACAACCAGACATGATTTCAACTGGAGGTGAAGACAATTGTGGAGGAGGTGGTTTCTATGCCCTGTGCATAAAACCCCTGTCTGGGGTTTTAAATTTGAAGAAAAAGTTAATGAAGGCACAAGAGGAGGCAGTTTTTGAAATAGAGATTGGGAATTAAGGTAAGAGTAGAATTGGGATCTGTAAGTCTAGATAAGTACTGGGAAAGACATAAAAATTAAAAGAATTGACTTTGGATCTTTTTTAATGGAATTGAGCCCTGAATAGTTCACTGGCTCGAGGGGCAATAACAAAACTGTGTCCAAGGCAAGAGACTGAGTCAAACATGGTTGAAGAATTCCTTTAAAGATAGGTTCACTTTCTCTTGAACCTGCAGCCTCTCCTCTCAAGCTGTAGTTAATGGAGAAGCAGTTGCATACTTGGGTATATTGTACAATTTCTTTTTTCTCAAAACACTGTTTCTTTCTGAACCTCTTTTGAGTGTCATAACATCTGTTGGGGTGGTGTAGTCACAAGAGGAGAGAGATGGGCAAATTAACTGCAGGTTCTTGGCTCATGCTTTTTGTAGCAATGTACTTTGTATCTTGAAAGGTTTGAATCTCAATTTTCTAAAGGTTTGCCAGCTGACGTGTTTTATTGTTAAATATAGTCCTTTCCATAATTGAGTATTTTTCCCCTGAAAACACTATTCCATTATCTTTAAAAGACATTTTGCTTGTTGCTGTCATCTTTTTGTAGTTAATAAAAATTTTAGAAGTCAGGAAAAGTTAAAAAACTGCTTTTTGTAACTCACTGCTTTTAGTCTTATGCACTACAAAAGTGCTGGTTGTTAGCTGGGTTGCTGGAATCTGCTGGATGAATGCTAAACATGACCTAGCTGTGAAGTGCAGGACAAAGCACAAACACTGTTTGAATAACTGAGGCTTAAAGCCTCACAAGGTTTCAGATAAATAGTCTTTCTTATGCAGTGAGGAACCAGGAAAAGATGGAGGTGGCAAATAAGTTTGGAATATCTATTGATTGAGATGTAAAATAAGCTAAATAGATTTCTTTTCTACAACCATCTCAGTAGCTACATCTTTTAACATTCCCTTAAACATAGAGATTAATTTTGACTTAAATAGTCTTATGCAAATTGGATCATAGTCTTATGGTACCAGTTAGTGTGAACTGTAGAAAAGATTACTCCTGAAGCAAGCTAATTACAATCTTGTGGTAAAAATGTAAGCAAATGTAAAGCTGATCTTCTCAATGACTCTTATGGGTAGAATTAAGGCTGTTGATCCTCCAAATAATTATTGGTCTTAATCTTTACTGCTGACGATGTATTATGTAATAAGATTCCAGACAGGCTGCGTGTCCCCCATTAAAGACAATATTGCTTTGTCCTGGTGTGGAAGAAAGTCATAGTTAAGAATGGATTTTAAAAGTAATTAGGGGAAAATTAATTATTGAGAAGTAGAGTGTTCTGTAAGAGTGTTGCAAACTTAGTGGCACTGAGTGACTTAAGTCTAGAGAAACATTTAATGGTCATATCCTGGTTTTGTACAACTGCTTCATGTTGTGCAAATCATTTACAGATTGTTTTATCAGGACAATGTTTATTTCTGTTAATTGTTCTTTTTGGCAAATCTTTCAGATTCAGTGTCCTTTATGTAACTTCAAATATTAACATAAAATTGACTTGGCCTTAGGATATTTGAATTGGATTATTTGAGTTGGAGCCTTGAAAGGAAGATCACCTTTATCTTGATTTATGTTTCTGTAACATAATCATGTTAAAATGTCAAATTCTTGTGTTATGTTGTCACGGTCTTGTTAAAAGGATATTCGAAGTTTTGGTATTAAAAGCCTTTTTAATCATTTAACTTAGACAGTTGTCTTAAGCCTTAGGACAAGATCACTTGTGTTTATAAATACACAGAACTGAAGCTACATGGTGGCTTCTTTCTTGTGTAGATGGGGTTGGAACTGTGGGAGGTGTTGTTTCTACAGGCAGAGCCTGTGACAAAGTAAATGCAGTTAATTTAGACTGTCTTAATTTACTAAAACAATAGTGTGCTTCCAAGAAACTAAAAATTTTGATTTTGAACTGTTGGAATAACAGGGATTGAGGTGGTGCATATTGTATCTTCTGGGAAGAAACATTTTTTTTAATTTCAACCTATTATTTGCAATATAATGTATAACTTCTTGTAACAGGAAAATACACAAATTATGTAGGTTTAGGTTTTTTTAAATTTTATTTGCAAGCCATTCTGCCATTTTCTGTAGTCTTTCACTTTACCCCACTTAATTTTTCATTTTATAGTAAAACATGCTAAATGTCACTATGGCAGAAAATATGTGTTTTCTCCTGATCCATCTAGAAAAGGTGAAAATTTTTCAAAGGTAACATTAACATGTAGGATACAGAGGTTTTGGAACTTCCTGCTAGGGGTGGTTTTTCCCCACATACAACAACTCACGTGCTCAGTTGTCAAGGGCTGTGCATCTGTTGAGCACCTGTAGGAAAACGTGCTACTACTTGAGAGAAATTTCCCATTTGGAAAGGAACAGTCTCAGTTAAGGAATCAAAGGAGGGGCCATTTGTGTCGTGGCAAAGGTAAAAATGAAATGCCTTAGGCTTGTTGTCAGATCAAGACCTTCCTGGTGAGAGATGACTAAAATCGAGGAGGAAAATTGCATTATTAGTTGGGTTACTAAGCTACACAAAACTGCTCTTCCTCACTGAATTAGCAGCTGGAACTGAGGGTTAAGGAGCTGTTTGTGTGCATTGACATCTCAGTGGAACTGAACCACTGCCTTGGAAAAGAAATTTGAAATTACTCAAGTTTAGTGCAAAGTCCACCAACATTAAAAATTGTGCTTCTCCACCAATAATCCAAGCAGGTTTAAACTCTTGTGGTTGGTTTACTGGACTGCATGAATGTATCTTCTGACATTTGTGTGAGGGGATAAAACAGCACGTACATGTTCATTTTGTTTTATCTATTTGAAGCTGTAAATTACCCTGTAGCCAAAGTAAATAATGAAGTCTGACTAGTACAATTTCTTTTCCTGGTGAACCACCATAGAGTGATTTAGAATATTTGGGCTATTATGATATACATAAATATTTAATGCAACTTATATATATATATACACATATGTGTAATTCTGTATATATATGTATATGCAAATAAATTAACAGATGCATATGAAAAGTATTTCATTATGGAATTAAGCTCACCCTTATCTTTACCTGTAAAAATCAGCAGCTTAGAACTGCTGCTTCAGTACAGTATTTTTAGGTAAGAGAAATTTTTAAAATCCACAAAGTAAACCATAACATACATATCCAAAATGAAATATGGAGAAAAGATTGTATTTAGTAAGGAAAATTAGGACAATCCTGACAATTAAGCACAGTAATTAGTGTTACTTGACTGATTTTTCCTGAAATATGACTCTATGGTAGGTACTGCTTTTCTTGCAGTCAATTCTGCTTGGGTAAACAGCAACAATGGAGCCTGGAGTAAAGAAAATGCCATTGCCTAAACCTTTGGGAATTCATGTGAAACCATCAAAATAGACTCACTGGAATTGCACTGATGTAAAAAATAGATTGTCAGTCTTAGGAAGATTCATTGTGCTTGTGAAAACATCAGTATTTCAGCTACTTTAGTTAAATAAAATAGCTACTGATAATCTAAACTTTTGGATTTTGAGGTGAACTTTAAATACTTGTCTGAAACCTTTTTCACCCCAGGTGAACCAGTATAAAACCAGAGATTGTAAAGAAAAATGACAGCGGAAAGAGCAACACAGAACCATATCTGTGCTTTGTTCTTTCTTCTCTCTACCCAAGCTTTTAACTTACTTTTCTGCAACCTTTCATGTTTCCTTCATCCCAAATGTAGCTGTAAAAGCCTTTGGCTCGAAAATGTGGTGCGTCAGAATCTTTAACTGATCGTTTGCATTTATTTCCAGGAACAAATGATGAGGAAAAAACAAGCAATGCATCTTGATGCACGCTATGTCACAATGGTAGAAAATGCCTATTACTACTGTAATCCCCCTCCAGCTGAAAAAACTGTGAAGAAAAAGCGTCCTCCTTTGCAGGAATATATCCGTAAACTTCTTTACAAGGATCTCTCCAAGGTCACCACAGAGAAGGTAAATCCTTTCAGAATCTTTAATAGAGTTTTTACTGGCAGTTATGCAACAGCAACTTTGAAAGGGTTTGAGGAGGGTTATAGTTTCTTCAGTTGCAAGGGATAATTTTTGTATCCCTGATTAAGATGGTTTCATTTGTTTTATTGTCATGCATGGAAGCTCCAGCTGGGGACCTGCATCCTCTGGAGCATTAAGTGATGAATAAAGAAAGTGAGATGAAAATCTTTGTGTTGGGAGAGTAAGAGAAAAAAGGCTTCAATTAAATACAGACTGTAAGAGCAAGGAAATCATGGGACAGACTCTGACAGTTGATTAGTAGCTGGAGGAGAGCAGTTGGGTTACATGCATAAAGCCTTCCATAGCAACTGCACATCTGAAGGATGCTTGGAAAAGGAGAATGAGGTTGTTTGCAGGTGCTTAGAGGGATTTCATCCCAACCAGGAGAGATGGGGGGTGACAGAGGGAGCACCTTGATATTTTACCTGCTAAAATGTGAAGCTTGTCTTAAAATTTGGTTTAGGTCCTGAGGCAGATGCGCAAGCTCCCTTGGCAGGATGCAGAAGTAAAAGACTATGTTATATGCTGTATGATCAACATCTGGAATGTGAAATATAATAGTATTCACTGTGTAGCCAACCTCTTAGCAGGGTTGGTCCTTTACCAGGAAGATGTCGGAATTCATGTTGTGGATGGAGTGCTGGAGGATATTCGACTAGGAATGGAGGTAAACAACCAAGATCCCTCCTAAGCTGTACTCATTTACTTACCTTGAAAGGAAAACTAAAATAATCTTGCTTAAAGAAAGGAATCCTTGGATTCTGGTTTTTTTTCTGATGACTTTTTTGCCTCCGTTGTTTGCTTTGTAAAAGTTCATTTAAATTAATACCCCCCTAAAACAAACAAAAAAACCAACAAAACCAAACTAACAAGATCAATAGGACAGTTGTTTTGCCCCCCTTGTCATAATAAGAACATACAGTTTATTCCTTCACAGTGTAGACAGACTCATGCAACTTCAAGTAATTCTGGAAACTACTCCATATTTTAATAGATGTTAAAATTACAAGAATTCTCTGGGTCATGAAAAATTATCATATATTTAAGAGGGAGTATGGGCTAAATGTATTTGAATTTATAATAAATACTAGTTGACCAGCTTTCATAACTACTTGTTAATGTTTACTTTTATGTAATGCATGCAGTCATAAATAATCATCTTTTATTATAAAGAAATCCTATCAATTTTTCTATACCCCTTTTTTCTTTGTAAATGGTTTGTTGGGTGTGGGTTTTTTTAATGTTCTACTGTGTCTGCAAGATACAGTGAATTTTCCTGTCCTTTTTTGGTAAAGGTTAATCAACCAAAGTTTAACCAGCGGCGGATCAGCAGTGCCAAGTTCTTGGGGGAGCTCTACAATTACCGGATGGTGGAGTCTGCCGTGATATTTAGAACTCTGTATTCCTTCACCTCCTTTGGGGTGAACCCTGATGGCAGCCCCAGTCCACTGGACCCTCCAGAGCATCTCTTCAGAATCAGGCTGGTCTGTACCATCCTCGATACCTGTGGGCAGTACTTTGACAGAGGATCCAGCAAACGGAAACTCGATTGCTTCCTTGTGTACTTCCAGGTATTCTAAATTTTATGTAGTTCTGTGGAATTCTTTAGCAAGCTAATATAAGTCAATCTGGTGCATATTTTTCTCATTGTTCTCTAGCACTGCAGTGTTTAGAATCCTGTCTGTCTGATGGCAGTTTTATTTCCAAGTGATGTGTGTGTTGAGTTACATTATACCAAAATGATCAGGAGGCTCTCAGTGCTCACACTGTGGGTTTGCTCAGCTTGGTGAAGTGAAGGTTATTTAGGTTGTTGTCCTCATCTGATAGTTTTTGTGGGGAAAGAGGCCTCCAATACTTCTCAGGCTGCATAGTGAAAGGGTCAGAGGTAATGGGCACAAGCTGCAGCAAGGAAAGTTCTGACTCAGTAGATGTCATGAAGTGGGGAGAAGGTTTCATAACAGGCGTGTTTAAACACTGGAAGGGGTTCCTCAGAAGATGGGGAATTTCAGCCTATGGAATTCATGCTAAAACTCTTTGCATAGAATTTCTTTTTGTTTCTGCTTTTTCCTTCTAAATTATACTAAAACAAGGGTATTAAAAATCAAGGTGATAATGACTTAGACCTTAAGGATGTGTTTCCTTTGCTGTATACGAGATATAAGATTTTGTTTTCACGTATAGTCTAGTCCTATTTTTAAATACAAATTAAACTTTTCAGGGAAGAAGGTATTTTTGTTACAGCTTATAATTTCGGCAAGCCTTCCTTTTGACCATGTCACCTTTTAAGTAGAGTTTCTGTTCCACATACTTCATTTTCAGATGCAGTTTTTGCAGCACTTCTGCTCTCAGGTTGTACTGTTAAGTGCACTTAAGATCAGCACTTATTTTTTACAATATATCTGTAAGAGGTGTCTGCAAACTTTTTATAAAGCAAACTGGATAAGGGACTTGAAGCTGGCTGCAGTCTTAAGACTGTTTGTGATGTTCCCCTCCTTTTCCCCAAAATATGCTATTGGGAAATTCATTTTCTTGAAAATATATGGGGGAAGGAATTGAAAGCAGGCTGGTTGTTATGTACTCATCTCTTGTAGCAAGAGTACACTGAGCAGGGACTTTATTTTCATTGCTTTTTTGCTAAGTCTTATTTCTAACAGTACTTGTAATAGCAGAAGCATATTCTTAATGTTTGTGGTATCCAATGTTGTCAGTGTTCAGTGATATCAAAATATCTAACAGTTGTATAAAAAAAGAAAGTAGTGATGTGAAATCTTTTGCATTTTCTGCTGTATAGACAGGGCTTGGCATTACAAACTTCAATGTTTTAACCTTCAGTGGTTAAACAGTTTATAAATGTCAGTGTGCATATAACTTATTGGAATATTTTGTCTTCTAGCGGTATGTGTGGTGGAAAAAAAGTCTGGATGTTTGGACAAAAGACCACCCTTTCCCTATAGACATAGACTATATGATCAGTGATACACTGGAACTGCTGAGACCAAAGATAAAGCTCTGCAATTCTCTGGAAGAAGCTGTGAGACAGGTGCAAGACTTGGAACGAGAGTTCTTAATAAAACTAGGTAAGGAAATGTGCCATGGGTATTAGGTGTTTTTGACAATTCCTGTAGTTCTTAAAATTGTCTCTTGTATGATGGCAATAGGTAACTATTGTTATTGTTTTATTCTCATGACAGAAATATTTCTGTAACTTCTTTGCGTTTCTCTAATCACTACAGAGATCATACAGAATCTCCATAACTAAAGTAATTAAGTGTTTTAAAAAAATTCAGTGTGAGTACTATTAATATAATAGTATTTGGAGAGCAGAAGTGTGTGTGTATGTGTTAGTTAATGGAATCACATGGTGCAAGTGATGAGGAAGAAAATTTATGAATTTAATCAGAAAAATGTAGGAAGCACACTCTTAATTTCAGCCCCCTTGGGAAAATATTGGTTAGTATCTAAAACTGTTATCATATTAACCTTTAACCTTTTGTATATATCAGTTCTTACTGCATATTGGATACTACCGGGCTCATTGCTTGTTAACTGGAGTTGTTTTCTAGTATCTCATTTTTATTTGAAAAGAGGCTTGTTCATGAAAAGCTTTTATATGTAAATTTTACACTTTGGGTGTTGACTAGAGCCTTAATAGCACTTCATCTGCTTGGACAAGTTCAATTTTTAAGAATAATCCTTTAATTCGTTGGGAAAAGCATGTACAATACCATGTAAAATGTTGCAACTTCTGGTTTAGGATAACCTTATTTTTTTAACATGCTGTCCATTTAATTGACATTGTATGTTAGAAGTTTGTTCTTTTTTTTACATTGGATGACTTAAATTTTGCAAAAGCAGTTCTCTAAAAACAAATCTTTTTTTTCTGAATCAGAATCATGATCAATTCTTAACTATTTTCTCAGAAAACATTCTGATTGAAATCCTGTATGTGAGACTAAATTGGGCAATGAAACACCAAAAAAAAGCTAAAACTTAGTTTTCACTCCTGTGGAAATGGTATAGATAAGGGATGAATAAACATCATCAGTGACACTGAAGGATACCTTACTGAGAGAAAGATGTTTAGGGAAGGTATGTTTGATACCTTACACACAGAATGAACTAAAATATCTTGAGGGACAGAGGTGGCAAGCAGGTCAGCAAGGAAAACTGCAAGATGAACTAAAACCACAGTTTTATTTCTGGGTTCTGCTGCTTTAGTGATGCATCTGTAGTTTAGTGCTCATGTTTCAGTGCATGTTTCAGAAAGGTTCACATTTAGTTTGGGGATGTTTTGAAGCAGTTTGCACAGTGCAGCTTCTTGAGTGCTGTTTTCTGGGAGATTTTAAACTAAACCTTCTCTGTAATGTTTTCCTCCTTTCCTGGCAGGGAGGTTATTACCCAGTATGAGTAAGGTAACTGTCTAGAAAATGTTTCATTCAGAAGTTGAATATTATGACTCATGGGGGGTTTTAGTGTTCAGTAACAATGGGCTTTTGAAGTGATTTTCCATGTATAACTTGGATGGTTATATGTGTTCTAATGGTCTAAGTCTTTGTCCAAATTTCAGGAATTGTGAATGACAAAGATTCCAAAGAATCCATTACGGAAGGAGAGAATCTGGAAGAGGATGAAGAGGAGGAAGAAGGTGGAGCAGAGACAGAGGAACAATCTGGAAATGAAAGTGAAGTAAATGAGCCAGAAGAAGAGGTGAACTTAATCATTTACCTTGCTTCATGTAAAAAAGCATGAGTAACCAAGATTTTCATTGCTTGTTACTTTCTGAAGCCCTTCTAAGTCACAGAGTTAGTGGGTGAAACGTGGGCATGCACAGCCCAGTCAGTACCTGAGGATATTCCCATCCCAGTTTTGGGTATGTGGAAAACTGAATACAGAGTTTCTGAGGCTTATTCCAGAGAATTTACAGCAGAAACTTGACCCTGACAACTTTTTTCAGGGTATGTGCTGCTTCTCAACAAAAAGATGCCTTCACATTTTTGGCATGAAAAAAAAAACAAACAACATTTTAAGATTATTTTCTTTATCTGTTGTAGAGGCAAATGTATTGACTAGATGTCAGAGCAGACAGGTAGGAAAAATAACAGCTGTTCAGAGTATGCCTGTGTAATATGAATAAATAAAAGATTTATGGAGCATAGAAACCTTCCTTGTTTACTGTGCTAATAATATTTTGAATCAAAAGTGGTGGAGCCAATAAAAAAAAGACAAGTACACAGAAATTCTAACTTGTCACTATGACACAGCAAAGTTGACGTGATAATGGTGGTGTTATGAGAAAATGATTTCATCAAGGAAATAGGAAACAGGTTTTTTCCATATGCTTGGGTTGGTTAGTTTGCTAATAAGCCTTTTTCAGTCTGTGTCTCTCAGTATTAAAGGTCCTGAATTTTGGCTGGGTTTGTGCCTTTACCCACAAATTAGTACCATTAGAATCACAAACAGTTGTGGGGTGGGGAGGGGACCTCTGGGGATCTTTGCGTTTCCCTTCTTTGAACCTGATGAGTTCTTCCCCACCCATTCCTCCAGCTTGTGGAGTTCCCTCTGAGTGGCAGCACAACCATCTGTTGGGTGTATTGGCCTCTGCTCCTAGATTTCTGCTGTATATTTTTGAAACTATCAGATAAAGCCCCGGGAGTTCGGAGTGAACATTAAATAAAAAACATAAACAGATTTACTAGAAGTGAACAGAACAGGTTCAGATGGAGGGAGGGGAGGAAAATGTGTGAGAGGAACCCAGGAGCAAGTGGTCCTTTTTTTTTTTTTTTTTCCAAATGGTCAGCAGTTATTAATTGACTATTTCAGGAGGGCTCTGACAATGAGGAAGAAGAAGGTGAGGAAGAAGAGGAAGAAAACACAGATTATCTTACAGACTCCAATAAGGAAAATGAAACAGATGAGGAGAATACCGTATGTATTGCAGCTGGAGGGAAGGGAACTGACCTTTGCATCTTGGGTTTTCTATACTGAGTGTTTTTTGCCAGTGCTGCTCATAACATATCTGGGAAAACACAGACAGAACACTCCCTGCTATTCTTTCAGATACATATTAGAGCTTATTTTCATGTTTGCAAACTTTGGTTATTACTTTCTGAAAATATTTATGCTGTCAACTTTACTACAACATGTTTTCACAGGACTGTGCACTCTCACAGGACTGGAAAATGTTGTGTAAGTGATGGTTTTGCAATGCCAGCAGTGGTAGCAGACTGATAGGATGCAACAAGGTGAACTAGTTACACTCCACTAGATCTCAAAACAGAACAGGAGACAACCCAGGGAGTGCAAAATACCTAAAATATGAATTTGGGATTGGCAGATTATAACATGTGCATCTGGTTGAGCCTGGATTGCAGTTACATAGTAAGAAAATAATGAACATCAGAGAACAACGTGTTGGGATACTGACTTCAAACATTTCTTTTGTCATGTTGTCCTCTCCAAATACTTGAAGGGTAGTTTGTCTTGAAAATACCATCTAACTGTATGGACTTAATGGAAAAATGAGTTAAATAGGTGTGTTAAGGATAGAGACTTTTCTTTGTATTGTTGCCACATCTTGAGTGTGTCCACACTCATCTGCACACATACACACGAGTGTGTCAGAATATTATGAGTGGCCAATAAATCAGGAAACACGTCTTTCAAGAAAATAATCAAGGTTGAAAACTTCTTTCTTGAACAATTTGGGGTTTAAAACTTTTTATGTATGATATAGAAGCAATAAGGATATTTTCCCACTTATTTCTAGACTGAATATTCATATTTCTGAAACTAATATAATGGAAGGTTTTTTCCCATTGCAATAGGAAGTAATGATTAAAGGAGGAGGACTGAAGCATGTCCCTTGTGCAGAGGATGAGGACTTCATTCAGGCATTGGATAAAATGATGCTGGAAAACCTTCAGGTATAATAGTTACTTTCTTAATTTAATGTATAATTAACTGTAGTTGATTTTTCTTTAAAGTAAATAAGTGATTAGTGCTTAGCTTACCATACTAAAGAACAGGGATGAGTTTTTCGCTGTTATTTCCTCTTCTCTGCAGTTGGCATGTTTGGATAAGTGGCTTTTAGTAAAATAGCTGTTAATTGTATTGTTTGCCCAGTGAATATACAACATGCTGACATATATTTTACTGAATCAATAATAGCTGCAGCAGATACTGTGCAGCTTCTGACTTTATCCTAGGTTTTAATATGTTTAATATGTTTAAAATGCAAATGCATTTAAATTTACCTAGCCTTTTAATCCTTTTCTTTTTATTTTTAGACACATGTGGTAAATATTTAAGGACTGAGTATACCAAGCCATGTATAATGAATATATTAATAAGATGTACCAAAAAAATCTTGAATGTAGAATGTCCATTCTTAAGTGTATCTCATCAGGTCTCTAGATTTCTTTCCATAAGTGACTGTTATCCAAAATTCCTTTATAATTTGAAAGTATTCTGTGCCTGTAACTTTTTTTTTTCACAAGCAAGGAAAGCTAAAGGGAAATGTAATAAAGCCTAATAAATTTATTTATATGTTACTCGGTTCTCCTGGAAGGTTAAACCTTTTCTCAGTCATGACAACCTGAATGTTCCATCCCCACTGACAGTGTCAGCATCTCAGCATTTACAGAATTTGCTTTCCTTTAACAGCAACGGAGTGGGGAGTCTGTTAAAGTCCATCAGCTGGATGTTGCTATTCCTCTCCATCTCAAAAGTCAACTCAAGAAGGGTCCCCCACTTGGAGGTGGGGAAGGAGAGTCAGAGTCTGGAGACACGATGCCATTTGTCATGTTAACACGGAAAGGCAACAAACAGCAGGTAGGAGTTTACATAAGGTATAGATACTTTAAATAAATAAATATAATCCTTTCAAAGGCTTTTTTCAAAGTCACACTCTTTAACTTTTGAAGTCACAGGATATTTTATTTCTTCATCCTTTTCTCAGAATAGGATACACACAGCTTAATTTTGATAAATAGAAAATACCATATGTGGTTTCTTGGAATTCTGGGTTGTTGGTAGAAATGATGTAGAAAAATTCCATGGTCAGATTATACCATTACTAATTACACTTGGTGATTACACCAGTAGGAGATTGTTATATTTTACCTGTATTTTAAATATAGTTGTGGAAGATGAAGGGCTGTGGTTGGTGGACTGCCAGTGAACACTGAAAGGAGTAGGAAAAAAAAAAAGGAATATTCCAGAATCTTCAAGATTCTACAGGTTTTTGTGAAAACACTTTCAGGTTCAAATCAAGATATATGGTATTTTCTAAATTCTATTTCCTAAGTAACTGCCACTTGGCTGAATTTGTTCAATTTGCAAAAAAAAAAAAGTTATTGTCTCTGAAGACATTTTTAGGGGACTATTTCAGAATACAGTGAGTGAATTTCTTGGAGGAACTTAATTAGAAAGGGTGTTGATAAAACAAATAAACTCTTCATGCAGCCAATCTGTGTGTTTATCTTGGCCCTTTTCTCCAGTATATGTTTGAATTTTCCTAGCTCAGCAAATGCATCATATGCAAATCAGTACCTCACATATTGCACATGCATTTCTTGCCATGGTTTAAAGAAACCTTTTCATTTTGGTTGGATAATTCAGTGATGGAAGTGAATGAGTTTATATGGAAAGCAAGAGCAAGGCATTGTTTCATTCCAAGGGGCCTTTCAAGTGTTTAGATCAGTGTCATTACTTGGCTTTTACTTTTGTTCCCTGAACTATGACAGTAGTTTGACAGTTGAGGTGTATAAACCTGAACCTGTCTTTCTCTTCCCTCATATGAAAGACACTTAAAAAAATCCACGTAGAAAGTGGTTGTTCTGTTTTCCTGGAACTTGAATGTTGTCTGCAAAGTTCTGCAGAAGTTTTGGGTGGGGGATTTTTAACTGTTGTCGTTGGTCTGAGAAGGGATCAAAGAGAACTCCTTTTGTAAAAAAAATGGTGTTTAATATTTTCAGGATAATTTACTAGGAGTATCTGTAGTTACGAAGAATTTTGGGATCTTCAGATTCCGTGTGAGGGGAAAATGTTGCTGGTATGTGGCTTAAAAAGAAAGCAGAACTTGTTCAGGATTTTTCCCTGCTCCTCCCCCAATATTTGGTTTTGGGAGTAGGTTCTTCCTGCCAAAAGTCGTCTCAACCTTTCTAGAAATGCAGAAAACAGTTGCTTTATAGACTCCTTCAGCTCCTGAGTTAATGAAAGGCTTCTTTGTCCATGCTTCTGTATTCAGAAAAAAATGTGTCTTAGTAGTCAGTTTTAATAGAAAAATAAGCAGGAAAGAAGAGGTGGAGTTGAAAAGAAAATAATTATTCTGTCCTACGGTACTTTATTTGAAATCTGCGTGAGCAGAATGAGTGCAGAGTTTTGAAGTGATGGATGCACAGGTCACTGGTGAGGTGTAGCTGTAAACTTTCAGCTTTTTAAAAACAATCAAAAGAAGTTTGCAGCAACCTGGGGGGCTGTGAATAACTTCATCTGCAGAGTCACTGGAGTGACAAACATCACCTCCCTACACAGCAGCCTAATTTCTGCTCTGTTAGCAGTGGCTTTGGTCTCTGTGTTCTTTCTTAGTGGTACTGCTGAAACGAGAAATCTTCACTGTTAGAAAGCACCTTCTGATGGAAATTGTTCATGCTGTGCTTCCTTCCAGAGGTTAATATTTGGTAGTTGAGGTCCAGTTGCCAAATACTCGGTTCACATGTCAGTGTTCAGCCAGATCTTAGTGCAGCATTGACAACTGGTTTCTTGAAGCAACACAAAAACAACTGAGTGGTATTTACCAGCTGCAAACCACCTGAATTAATGCTCATTGCAGGCTGATGGTGACAAGGACACCATATTTTATCCTCTAAACTTACAAAACTACTAGCAATAGAACCTGAAGCCTAACATGGTTATTTGAAATTAGACGATAGCACTGTGAATTATTCATAAGCCATGAGAGAGCAAGGGGAAATACTGTTGTCATCATAAAGGATTAGAGCTGAGTTCTCTCTAATACTATTTGATTCTTTATGAAACCATCCGAAAAGTTTTATGCCAGGTAAGTGTAAACTGAAGTGAGGTTTAGACTGTAAAAAGAAAGTCACCAAGTGTCAAGAACTTTGGTTAATACCGAAGACAAAAGATTTTCTTTCGTTTGAAAGATCTTTAGCAAGGCTCCATGAAAGAAGGATCATATTCATGGAATGGTCAAGTGTGTCCTTGAACGTGAAATTCTTTATCTCGTTTATATCTTTATCTCCTGATCTTTTTTTAAAATCTGTAATAATTTAGTCTTCTGAATAATCATTTTTGATCTTCCTTCAGTTTACCATCTTCAGTGGAATCCTCTGTCCTGCCCCCACCTCACAGATTCTATGAGAGGTTTTTGATGCCCCTCTTCACTGTGTGCAAATGGGAAGCATTTCAGTTGCTCAGTAATCATCACATCCTGTAGTAATTGTCATCAGTGACTTGATTTCAGGTGGCAGCTGATTGCCGTGAGATAGTGAGTCACTGATGTTTTGATAATTACCAGGCTGTTGTTTTTCTGTATCTGTTTCTCTCATTTACAGTTCAGTTTTATTTTTTTCTGCTTTAAGCATCTTGTCTGAAAACACCAATCCCATTAAGCTGATAAATCCATGGAACAGCAAAAATATAAAGGACATATTAAAATGGATGAGGAGCTTACTGGTGAAGCCAAGGAATGATTTCTATCATGAAATGCTGCTAATGGATTAGTTATTTGTGTAGTTCACGTAAAGCTCATTTGCTGATATTTGGGAACAGCCTGCTCAGCAATAAGTAACTTAAAGCTTCCTTTGCTCTTGGAATTTCAACTTTCTTTTTTATTCCTCCCCGCACACCTTAATAACAAGTTTGTACTTATATTCAATATAATATGCTATTACTCACAAAAAATATTGAACCTGGGTTTTCTCTTCTAAATACATCATTTAGTTGGTAGGATTTAGGGAGTCACTGTACCCAGGTTTTTCTCAGGTCTTTGGAAGAGTTTGTCTTTACTGTTTCAAACACAGTTTATTTTTCAAATGCTGCATCTGAGTACTTGGAGTCTTCTCACACTCATCACTTGCTCTCTGGTAGTCGGGCACTGCTATTTGAGATACCTTGAGATTGCTTAGTAATTATTGCATTAAGTACTAACCACAGGCACTGAGGATTTTGGGTTTACTCTAAACCTTCTCAACAGAGGTTTTGCTGATGTATCTTTCCATCTGCAGCTTCTGACAGAGTAACAGAAAAGAACACTCAGGAATTTGCTTCTATTTCTGTGGAAATAGATCTCCCATGATGAGAACAAGCAGCAGGATTCAGAGCAGTTCATGAAATATTGAGAATGATTATCTTTAAATGCATTTCCCTTCTTAAAGCACAGAAATATTTATTTCTAATGGACATGCAGTTGAAGGAGGGAGTAAAATTATTATAAATATGTTCTCAAACTTTAGCATTAAGGGTTTTCTGAGAGTCGTTGTTTCAGTTGCAGATAAGATTAATAATCACTGCTCTGTTTGGGAACAATTGTAAAAAAGAAATAAAATCTGTGGAAATAACAACTTGGATTTTCTGAGTTTGGAGGAAAAGAAAACACCTTCCTTATACCTCTCTGAAAATCTCATCTGAATTTCCAGAGAGAGGGTCCTTCTGTAGGAGTGTCAGGGTTACCTGATGTACCTTAGGGCAGATCAGATAAGGTGTTGAATGTATAGTGTGGATGAGGAAGAAAAGATTAAATTTGACACCACAGCTGTCTCCAGACTAATAAGAAACACTGAGGAGCCAGAATTATCCATAAGAAGTACTGGCCAAGGAATGTCAGTGGATACCTGAAATGCTTGGAACATTTCATCACAAGGGATAGTAGCAGGAATTCTGCTTGGGGGGCTTCATCTTTTGGGAGGGAAGAGACCTGGGGAGGGAGATGCATCTCTGTGAGCCAGCTAAGGTGCTTTCATCTCAAGACCAGTGTAATTCTCTCTTGGGCACTTTGGCTGGTGTGAAGATAAGAAATAAAGCATGTGGCTGTGCCTTCCTGGGAAAAGGCAGTCAGCTTTGCTCCTGTGGATACTCTGTCCAATAGCTTTTGGCCTCAGCCTTTTTTGTATGTTTTCTGTGTCTTTGGGAGTCTGAATGTCTCCCATTTTCTCCTGCTGCTTTATGTGAAGCAGAGCTTCAAACCAAACCAACAAACAACACACTTTGCAGGAGAAGCTGCTGTAGAAAGTATCACAGTAACTACAGTAACTGCAATCTCTCTGTATTTTGGATGGTTTTGTGGTGTGTTTTTCCCTGATGTGTATTTAAAAGCTTGTTTTCATTTGCAGTTTAAGATCCTAAATGTACCGATGTCTTCCCAACTCGCGGCAAACCACTGGAACCAGCAGCAGGCGGAACAGGAGGAGAGGATGAGGATGAAAAAGCTCACTTTGGATATCAATGAACGGCAGGAACAAGAGGACTACCAGGGTAAGAAAGTCAGCAAGGATTTAACTTTCCTTTTCAGGGCAATTGTCATGGATCTGCAGAAAATGTCATGTATGATGATTAGCAGCTGAAGTTCTGAATACTGATCTGCAGTACTTGGGGAAACCTGTATTTTGGTTTCAGTCACTCCTTGTTTACTCCCTGGTCTTTGTACCTGAAGAAGTTTTTATAGCTCTTCCATGAAAGGGAGTCTTCAAGTGGACTTCAAATTTCAGAATTTCCATTTATTTTGGGAAAGGGCAAGAACTGAGATTGTTTCTTTAAAAATAAGATAACACAAAATTGATCTGATGTTTGCTGCAAGACAGTTGAGTTGAATACAAGATGAATGAATTCTGTGCAACTTAAACTCTATTTTTAAGATATTAATAGGTATTTTAGATAGTAACAGTATTTAGACCCTTCATTAGTCTTGCTGTAATTTGCAAATACTGAGGTGACCTTCACTTGAGAAATACAAACTGTCACCTCAGCTTCATATTGTAAAAGTTTTAAGAGTCCTCAAATCTGGAGCATCAGAATATATTAACAAAATGAAAGTTTCTTACAATGACATGATCTAATTTGTTTTTTGAAGATATGCAAGTCAGGCATTTTGGAACTTGGACAGACTGAAGCAAACAGTTAATACAGCAGATCATGCAGTCCCTAAACCAGTGCATTTGATGTGCTGGGTGGTTTGTTTTGAGTTGTTGTTATTTCAGATTCAACTTCCTTTGATCTAGTCAGATAGTAACCAAAGCCAGACCAGTAGAACTGGTGATATTCAGCTCTTATGTTCACACTTCCATTGAACATCTCCAGAATTCTTGCTCTGTTTTTTTTTTTTTTTTTGTGAAGATGTTGCAGTCTGGTGGCAATCACAGTATAAGTAGCTAATTAGGAGGAAATCTCATTTAAGGTATTTAGTGAAAGGTCGTTGTTCATCAAGAAATGGGAAATAACTAAATTAAAGCAGGTCTGATTGTACAGACACTATGGAATCCAGCACTACTTGCAGAACTTTAATAGTACCAGAACTAAACTTGTAATTGTAAAAGTGAGTATGTTCCAGAGTGTCTGCAGAGCTCTGAAATGGTAACACAATATATTCTTAGTGTTAAACATGGTAATTAGCTTAAAACTGCTTTTCTGAGACAAGCTGCTCCTATAAAGCCCACTTATGAAAATGGAAGAGAAAGAGTAGACTCCAGAATTATACATTTAAGTGCTTTTCTTGGACTTTTTTGTGGTTTTTTTGTCATTAGATACTTCTGATAGTTTTGTTGGTCAAGGCATTTGGGTTTTATGCCCTGTTGTATGACTTTGTTGATATCTTTAAAATGAATCTGTTTAATCAGAGGTTTTATTGTGAGTAGTTGTGCTTCTTATTCAAAAAAGGAACACATTGATTAATTTTTGTTGGACAAAATCAGACAACTGGTACCAATTGATAACTAGTAATAGACAAATTTTTTTTATCATTTTCTCATGGATTTTCTAGGTGTATAAAGCAAAGGAGGAAAATCAACGTAAAAGAAAAAGGGGTTTTCCACAATTGACATCCCTTTTTAAAACAGCTGTTAGTTCATCTTATTAACCTGGGTAATATACAGAGTAAAACCAAACTGAAGAGGACCTTTTAATCAGGTTAAATTAAACAGGCCAAATTACATTCCTTTTTGAATTACTTTTTATTTAGATTTTGAGCAGTTGATTGTTACTTTTGAAGAGTCAGCTTGTCTGTAACAAGTAGGTACTTACCCATTGAAAGAAAGAGTTGGGTTTAAATTTCTGTTTTAAGCTTTGAAGTTACCAGAGGAGGAAGAAATCTCCATTTCTGGCAGAATGCCTGGGGGTTGTCCCAGTGTTTTTACATACACTTGTGTTTTTTCATCTGCACAGGGCAGCTAAGAGATGGAGATTCACCAGTGCACTTCAAAGTAGTATCAGATAATGATGTGATGCTTCAGCAAAGTTTATTGTATTACAAACATTATTTTAATTTAAAGAAACAGTGGGAACTGGGTGGCTCTCTAGTTTAGACTGGTACTTTTCTGTGTAGGTTATTTTTTACTTCAGTAAAACTAAAAAGGTGATGTGCCTTCAGCCTGGATAACACACTGTGCTTCCCTGCCATCTCTACCTTCTGTTCCCTTCTCCAGGACTGACCTTCCCAGCTACTGACTCCTCACAAACCCTGATACTTCCTTTCCCCCAATACAGACATGCCTGTACTCGCTCATTCCCTGCTTCCAGCACCTGGCTGCCAGGGTCCCCTCATCTGCTCGGATTTCCTTCCTGAGGCTCCTCATTGCCCCCGGAGATCTCTCCTGGCACACGGGAGCCTTTGGAAGGAGTTATTTCCTGATGTTTACAAACAGGGACTGTCAGTGTGTGCAGTGGCTTTCTTTGCCTTTGCCAGGTGTTGAACACAACACAGAGCATGAATACAAGGGCTGTTGGCTGTTCACACCAGTACTGGGTTTTAAATCAGTCGCAGTTCCCCAGTTAATCGAAGATGGGATTGGGATGGATAACTTACTGAGAGCTTCCCCTGCATTCCATGAAGAGTGAGAGAACCTCCTTAGAGCCTCTGGTTTTGCCTTGTGCAAGTCAGGGAGAGCAGTGGAAGTGTGTGTGTGGAGCAGGTGATGGGTGTGTGTCTCCAATGAGATTACCAGAGATTAGAGAACCAGACAGAGCAGACTTTCAAACATAATCTGTTTAACAGCTTATTCCACTTTTCCCCTTCATTTATCCCATCTGTCTGTTTGCTGAGTAATGTAGATCCTTGCACAGGTGGACTGTCGGGAATACTTTCCATTAGGTGCACCAACATATGGGCAGGGGTTATGTGGTGGTTCCTGGGATGTGTTTGTAATTGTATTGGCCACTTGATAACCATTAACTGAGCCTGGTAAAGAGGCATTTTTTTATCGTTAAAAATTGAAATGCAATTTTAGAAATTAAGTTTTACTAAACCCCTAAATACAATACTTCTGTGGTTTAAACTGCCCCAAACTTGGCTGTCCAGGGCTAAACTGGATAGTGTGGCTGCTCTCTGCACACAACACATTCTTCCTCCTGGTGATAAACTCCATCCATGGGACAGCTGGTGCAATGTAGGTCAGCTGAGTCACCTTCTTCAGGTGCCTGCCTTCCCTAGGAAAGGATCCAATTATGCCAAGCTTAGACTTAAATACCTGACTTGAAATGCCTAATTTTAGGACGGGTTTCTTGCTGAGTCTTTAATTGGCAGCAGCACTGTCCACTTGTTACTATTTCAGGGAGGTTCAGTGTGGAAGGCCCCTCGTGCCGCTGTGTGTCTTTGTCCCTGCTCATCGATGGGGAAAGTGTTGCCTGATGTGTTTAGAGAGAAAAGGTCACAGGCCCTTTCTTAAGCACCTGTGATTAAAACCATTCCCGGCAGTTCCTTCTGTAGGAACACCTGGAAACGCAGGTTCATATTGCCGGGTAGTTTGGGTTTGTCGATGCAATTTAGTAACTACTTTTAATTATCTCTTGTGGAATAACTTGAGGAGTGTTAACTCTATAACAAAGTGCAAGTAAGGTCTCTTTTACTAAATGTCAGTGAAATGTGCTTGTAAATTCCCCTGTAAAAAGATGCATAGAAAATGTACTTAACTTCCTTCTGCCTGCAATTCCAGAAATGCTGCAGTCTCTGGCACAGCGTCCGGCTCCAGCAAATACTAATCGGGAGCGGCGGCCTCGTTACCAGCATCCGAAGGGAGCACCTAATGCTGATCTAATCTTTAAAACCGGTGGGAGGTAGGACAATCTTCCTTTAAATGTGGTAATTCTGGTTCTAGGCAAGTAATTACCTTCATAATTGAAACAGATAATGATCTGTGTAGTCGACAGGATTGGTTGTTCGTTTCCATTCTGAAGCATTCTCTTAAAAAACTGAGCAGTGTTTGGTGCTTCCAACACAGTGCTGTGAATACCTCCTTGAAGGAGGTTTGGATGTGTCTGTGGATACCTCCCTGACAGAGGTTTGGAAGCCAGAAGATTATTTTTCAGTTGTGAAATGATTGGTAGAATCTGAGCCTCTTTTTGTAGGGGAAAAGATGCAAGTCTGCTTTCTTGGTGAGAGGGGGGAGAGGGTATTTTTGAGTATCTCGAGAAATTCCCATTATGCTCTTTTTGTTTGGGGAATTTGACAGCTATTCCTCTGTATTTGATGCCCTAAATGGAAAGTAAATATAGTTAAAATGGGAGGGGGGAAGAGAACTTTCAGTTTATGGTGTGCAAGAGCATACCAAACCCAGCATTAACACAAGAAGAATCACTCCAGATTGCCTAATAGTTGTTCTGAGGCTTTAATGTATCTCAGAGTGGCTTTTCTCAGTCGGAGTAAGCTTGCAAATAAACCATTAAATTAACCCTGCAGCACAAATTTGAATAGACGGTTTCAGGTGAAACACAGACTTGCTTTCATGTTTCTCCTTTCTTTGCAAGTTCATTTTGGAGGTGGATGGATGGGAGCAGCAACTGTGAAGGGACAGTTTACCTGCTAATACTTCTGTCTTTGTAAACTTCAAATAGGTTAATGTATGTGTTGATCCTGTGTTACAGCAGCATTGCCAACTTCATGGTACACATTTATAGTCATTTTATAGTGTCCTGATGATCACTCACTCCTCTGAGACCCCATATAGATACTGTTTGTACAAAAAAACCCCACCTTTTTTTTTTAAAGAGATGGCAATTTAAAAGAAGTGCTTTTTAAAAAGCGAACCAGATATAACTCAATAAAATGAGCAGTACTTTCCATTTAGTTTTTCATATCACTGTGGCCTAATGCTGTCCTAGAAATACAGACTGTTCAGTTACACTGAATTGCCACAATACTTGCAGGTGTTTCATAAATAACTGTGCAATCTTCTCTTCTTTGTAATCTTTCCCAAAAGCCTTGAACCTGCATGAGGAGCACACAGCAGTTATTCTTTGAATACAGCAGCCAGACCAGTAGATGTGATATTCATAGATTTCTTTTAAATGCAGTTCCTTAAAAAACTTTTTGTTTTCAGATGTTCTGGGGAAAATATAATTCAGGACTTCACTGTGAAGTAGGTCAGACATTGTCCAGCTTGAGTAGCGTTTGTCTGTTCAAATAGCTGTGCCATGTGCTTCCAATTCTGATGTAGTTTCACATTATGTAATTTGCTCTTTGTTCCTTTTAATCCATGAGCTCCTTAGAACAGAGAGCAGAAGTTTGTTTCAGCAGGTGTATTTTATTTGTTGGGTACTGCAGTGCTCTGCCTCAGCTGAGCCATCTCAGCCCACAGTGAGGGAATGGTACTTTTCCTAACTCCACCTGAAAGATATTTAAGCAGAGATTTATTTACTGGAGGCTGTGGGTCCACCAGTGGCTTCCCACTGGCATAGATAGTCACCTCCATTTTAGGGTTTCTGATTTATAGGATATATTGAAGATTGTCTTCTGTCTTTGCCTGGGGCACTGCAGTCTCTGCCCACACCACCCTCATGTTTTAGTTAAGTTACCCTGTGGATTCTGAGGACACTGGAGTATCTTGCTGGCAGCAAATAGGAACTGGGCTGTTAATTTTAGTATCTGTTTGGAGCAGGTTTCACATTCCTACATGGCAGAACCAACTTGTGTAATACAGATGTTACACTTACATAAGTGAGCTGTGTTGTGTTGCTGCTTCTTTGTGTTTGAAGACAACTGGGATGTTATTTTCTTGCAACAATAACTCAAACTTATAGGAAATAATAATTCGTTGCTTTCCTTAAGGAGTGCAACTTTTTATTTTAAATTTCCTGAGATTAGGGATAATCTGAGCAAGTAAATTTCCTGGTTGATTCCAATGTACAAGCTGACCAGTTCCCAAAAGCCAAGGTAGGGATGAGGCCTTTCTTGCATTTCAGGGAGTGTTAAGAGTAGAGAAATCAATTGGTTGTTTTTACCTTTGCTTTTGTGTTGCTAAACACATGCTAAGCACCGTGTTTCAAACAGCTTTTAGAAAGTTAAATCCAAATCTACCTATTGGAACAGTTGATTTCAGAAATTAAGGCAGCCTTGGGTTCTACTTTGGTTTTGGCCTTGAAGGACTGGATCTCGCTAAGCAATTAGCTCTAAATGTTTAAAAAAAAAAAACCAAGAGAGAAATCTTTTGCTTTGTGTTCACTTTATTTGTCATCTGTTAGTGCCTTTTTTTCTATATTGCAGTGAATGCAGTGAGATTTACAGGCTTTGTCAGATTTCTTATTATTTAGTGTGTGCAAAAGGCTGGATCAAAAATTGGAGTGTATTGCTGTTTGTGTGGAATTGCCTCAGGTTTTGAGACCTGCTAATCGTGTGAGATAATTTACTGTGACTCCTTTAAAAGTAGGGTTCCTTGCTTTGCTTCAGCAGCACGGGGAAGGCAATAATTTTCTCTCTTGCCTCCAGTTCTGTAGCATTTGTTGGGCTTTTAAACTGGTACCTTGAGGAAACACAAAATTTACTAAAGTAATTTTTTTTTTGGCGATGGGTTTATTGTGAAAATACACTTTTACAGTTATGAACAGACTCACTTCAAAAAAAGTGGATTTCCTTTGTTTGAAGAGGATTGAGATCCATTAAGTGGCTTGATTTTAAAGTGAAATTAAAATAACCACATTATATAAAATGTATTTAAAAACATTGATTACCAAGAAAGAAAAAAATAATTACAGTGAGGAATTTGACTGTAGAGAAGCAGGCCTTACCAAGGAGTTTTATCTCATTAAATCTCTCCTTATTAAAAGCAGTAACTTTAAAATTCACTGTTGCTTTGAAAGTATAGTAAAGAGGGGCCTGCCTATGTCCAGAGTCCCTCTGGGGATGCAGGTGTAAGCTGGAAACTAAACGATATTCAAGTTAAGTGGTGATTTTAGGTCTCCTGTTTGCCTCTGACTCTTATTTCTCTTTAACCCGCTTAATAAAGAAAAATGAAGCATAAGAGTAATAACAGGATGCTGGGATTTTATTAGCTAAATATTCCCATCATATAATATTGCATTAATGCTGAAAAATCAAAATATGGATAATAAGGAAAAATGGGAATTTAGCATGATTTCCTGCTTCAGCTACTGGACAAACACATCTCATACAAATGCACTGACCAATACTATGTAATGAAACTTTGAATTCAGTTCTTACTGAAACGGGCCTTTTAAACACAGCTGAGAAATTCCAGCTCCCCTTTTCAGCTGTTTTATGGGAGGAAAGTCCAGGGTGGGATATGGGAGCAGGGGCTTGGCTCCAAACCTGCATTTGCAGATATCAGTGTGAGTCTGAGCCAGACAGAAAAGGTGGAGAGAGACCTGGTCACAGCTGTAGTTTAGAGGGAAAGGAAGGCAAAACTGTGTTTATTAGCCATATTCATTCATAGAGAGTCTGTTTTTAAAAGAGTTCTTTCCATATAAGTAAGAACAACAACAAGCAAACTGAACTCCCTGCAGTCTTGTGGCCCTCTGGAAACCAAATACCAATCCCCAAAACACCTTCCAGCTCCCAGCCCACTCTGCACACCATGGCTTTGACTTGGCTTTGTCAGAGCATTTTATTTTTGATGAACAGATAAGAGCATGAAATCACTTGCACAGGTTAGGATTCTCTAACTTAGGTGAGTCCAGCATTTGTGGGTTATTTGAATTTGTGATGTTCACAGTACAGAAGTTTATAACTGAGATTTGTTAGGAAATTCCATGGACACCTTGGCATTTTCTATTTCATGTTCCTGGTTTTGGTTAATGTGATCAGGGGAGAAAGGACAAAGAGCATCAAAGCTGAGATTAGTCACGAGAAGCAAAGAAACGAGTGATGGGAGAGGAGGTGTTGGGAGAAGGAAGTTTGTGAAGGGATTTGTGAAGAAATAAGGTACTGCAGAAATGCAGAGAGCTTTGGGATTGGAGGACACAAGGGGATTAGGGAGAAGTGTGAAATCTTAACTTCAAAGGTCTCTCATGTTAAGAAAAGGATGACTCTTGTGATGTCAGCAACGTGCAGAAAGGACTTGATTATTGATGTTCTCCTGGGCACTTCTCAGTTTAAACTGTGATGTCTTGCTGACTGAGCTCTCCCAAGTTCACAGGGCAGTGGTTCTGGGGCTGTTTCACAGCCTGTCTTATGGTGATATTTGTGTCTGTTCTCACGGGTTCCATTTTCTGCTCCAGCCATGGTTTGGTCAGAGTGGTTCTGTGTGTTTCTCTACCACATGGAGTATGTGGGCAGTGTTAATGCTTAGCAGTGGAGTGAGGGGCTGACTGTGTGATTTTTATACAATTTAATAACTGTGTCATTAGCAGGAAGGGAAGTGGAGGGAGGAGAGATTGCAAAAAATTGAGTCCTTTTGTACATAGAGCTCAAGATGTTTTCAGTTACAAGTGTGTGCTAAGTCTGACCTTGCCAAATAACAGCTTTGGACCAAGTTTACTAGTTCAGACAGAAGTGTGAAATACCTGGTTTGGGAAAAACCACTACCAAGATTTTTGGCAGCAGCCCCTTTCTGTAACCACTGAAACACTGACCTGCCACCAGCGTGTCCTGGCAGCTGCTGGTTTGGGTGGGAGGCATTTGTACAAAATTTGACACGTGCAGCCACTCCCAGCCCTTCTCCTTCCCTCCCCATCAGCAGTAGAATTACTTTTTAATGGGAAATGGAGAGGTAAAAGCATGATCCTGCAATTCAATGATGTTTGAAGTTTCTTCTCAGTTGTAGCATTCTGCAAGTGAGATCTCAGGTCTACTAAAACTACCAAAATTAATTAAGGGTCCTTTCTGTT